TTGTGTTTAAATGACCTCGCTGCTGTTCTTTTTGCTGTCTTTTCCTCCCCAGCTTTCTCGACTGCCAAATCTGCAGCAAACACAGCCATGTGGTTCTTGGTAATTGAATTGAAGAGTGTGTGTAGTGTTGTTTGTTTTCACGCCACTTTAAGTGATTCTGTGTCAAACACTCCTTTTTGAATTTGATTTTTCAGATCTGTCTTGATGGTTTATTGTAATGACGTTTGAAAAAGTTATATGTCATAGTGTGTTTGAGAAAGCTTATATTCATACGCACCAAAGGGGGTCTATAATAATCTATTAGTTTATCATCCATCCACTTATTTTTATGCCCATTTTGTGATAAAAAATACATTTGTGATAAACAATTTTCGCACAAAAAACATTGGATAGAAATGAAAAAAGGTGCATGAATTCTAAAAATGCGCAAAAACTTGATTCTGCGCTCAATTGAGTCTGATAAACTTTTTATCCGATAAGAAAATATGTGCATAAACTAAGATGGAAACACATTTACCGAATAAATTAATCGATGTACATCATAAAAAGATGTGACTGCGACTGCGAGGGGATGGCATAACTGGACTAATCAGCTGACCGATCTCATTGCACAGCATCTGAAATGGCTTCTGTGGCTTATCCATATCTCTGTGATTATTTAGTGTCAGTTTATCAGGAAGTGACAATTTTCCACTCTTCGGCTAACTGGATTGAAACAGTGCTTTATCCGAAAATTCTTTATGCGATATTCCATTTTTGCACATAAGTTAACTTCACAACTTTGGATGAAAACATGGCTATTGGCCATTGCTTGACTTGCACAGGTCTTGCACTTGCAATATCTCTACATAAATGTAATGTGTATACACTTACCTAAATTGCGAATTTCTAATGCAACTCTACGCATTTGCAACTCCCCTATTCTGCATATGCCTTTGGACGGAAATAATGTAAATGAGGAATATTGATACGTTTCCTGAAGAAAACTCAAGACTAGTATCGAATGTTTCAAGGAGTTCAGAAACCGTGCTTACTGATATTGAGAATAACTCTCTTTAGAGTGGACTTTGTGCTTTGTAAATTTGCATACCTTATTCATGCTCAAACAGCAATATTACACATGAAAGAAAATTGAAAATGTAAAAAAAGCATAATAGGTCCTCTTTAAAAATCTTACCGACCCTATATTTTTGAATGGTATTGTTTATATAACTAATAATTCAATTATAGAACTTTATAACTAATTGTTGTAAAGAAAGAAATAGTGTATTTTGGCGGCAGAATTGGTATTGGCCTTGCTAACCAGGCACACCCCTTAACCTATTGGTATGTAATACCCCTCAACATATTTTACCCCTCAAAATGTATTGACCTTGTAAATTGTATTTGTACAAAAGCAAAGGTGATCAATCAACTTCATCTAATGTCTCTGTCAGGAGAGTAAGAGTACATGTGAGCAGTTATTGTCATCACACTGTAGTCTGGAGCGATGGTCAATGTGAATTACCTCCAAATGCAGTGGTTACCAAATTAGAAAATACACTGATGACTGATGTATCCGATGATGAATGATAGCTGCTTTTGCATTGCGCAAATTGAAATTACAAATTGAAAGTACGCACAATGGAAACACGTAAATTTCGCAAAAACTCCTGTTTATCCCAAAAAATTATGCTCGTATAAGGTGGTTTTTCAGGCAATTCAAAAAAAGGAATATTGGAATAATGGAAACATTACACTCCCCTGACTGAAGGCGCTGTGTTTTTGGACTGAATACGAGAGTTCTTTATTATATTCATAAAAGAAATAAAGAATTTCAGGAATACTGGATTCTAAACCTCAAAGAAAGGCCACAATCAAGACCTTGGAGCAGAAATGAGGGAAAAACACAGAGAAACACCTCATAAATGCCATTCACAGTATAAGGGTCATCACAAATCTGTAATGGAAACGCGCCAAGTGACTTGCCGCCACCTACTAGTAGTTTTAGTTTAATATTTACAAATATTACTTAGTTTTACCAGTATTTATTGCCTTATTATATTAATTATTATATTAATACAAATATTGTCCCTTAATGGAAAAGTTGTGACTGCAGTCTAAATTTATGAGCGGGGATATGCAGAAGGATGTTAAATGCCTCAGAGGGTACCTTACTGTAAAAAGTTACCACTGAACCACTGTCCTAAGGAATGACTGCTGTCCATCTGATCTCTGCACAGATTAAGCCATCCACTTTTGGCTGGCCTTATAGTAACAGTCATAAGCATTTATGTGCTAAGAGTCTCAGCATATGGAGCTGATCACCTCCTCAACAGGCAGCCGTGGGTTACGTTACTGATGAGTAATTTAGGGAACCGCGGCCTCTTATTCTAACTTGCTTAATTTTTCTTCCATCTCAGTTTCTGCTTTCTCTCTCTCGCTCTCATCAGTTAGAGGAAAAATTTTCATTAAAGTCTATTTATAGAGCGTGTTTTAATGGGCAGACCTCAGAAACAGGAGGAAATAAGAAAACCTTGAAAATGCTCAATCAAAGAACCTGCTCATTTCCTCCGGCTGCATATTATAAGTGACCTTTCTGTGAGAATGAAGTTGCACCTGTGAGGATCGTGTGAGCTGTGAGAATGACTAACAGAGGTGGAGTTCCTGATGGCTAAATTGTGCCTATGTGATGAGTTTGGCTAGTCAACCTTGTGAAGCATGGGTGTCTCAGCATTATGTGTGATTGGAGGAAGTCCATCATGTCTGAGGCAGAGATGTTTGTCTCAGGCTAAACCTACATCTGAATAATGTCAGCTAACGGTGTTGATTGTTGAGTGTGTTGTAATGGTATTGATGTGAAATAAAAATTGTTTTTATTGAATACTGTTTCAACACATTGGCTTCCAAACTCGTTTAAACACGACAGTTCAGTGTTCAGGGACATTCTATTAAAATCATTATTGTTTTGATCTAACAAAAAGGTTTTGGAAAGGTTCTACCATTCACTTTATCACATTTAACAAAATGAAATGGTACATCAGAGGTCTAATTCTCTTTCTTTACTCCCTTTCTCTGTCTCCCCCGTGTCATTAACACCGCTGCTTTATCTCACGCTGAGACATAACAGCTAAGCTGATCACTGGTTTCTGTCACCTCCCAAAGCTCCGGGCCAATCGCCGCCGCCTTCTTCCAGGTCACCAAATTGGTCCAATTATTTGATCAACAGGAAATATTCACAGACTTCTGAAAGGAGCGTTGACAATCGGGTGCACTTTCCATCATAGAGGCTGTGTTTAACACATCAGACGACGACCTTGAACTAACGTATTAGTCATGATAATGACATCGCAAAATCATTACAGGTGACCAAGTCATCAAAACGACTTTGACAGCAGATAATTGGTTTACTGAGGTAATGCAGATAGAAGAGGACCATGTCTGTGTGAGTGTCTTTTAAAGTTTTGGTTTTTGTGAGAATCTTATTGATATGCCATTGGAACAACTTTCGTCAAGGCCGATATTTCACCTCTCTCAGACAATTGAAATAAGGTAAGGTAAAAACCCTGATTGGTTTTTAAACACACGCACACACTAGAGGACCAACTCCACACCTTCATCCACTGTCACGGATGCTTTTAGAAATAATAACAGCCTCAGAGACACTGATGCAGAAAACAGAGGGTGAAATAAAAAGGAAGGCTAAAGCTCAAACGTTCTGACATGCTTGTCTGTGTGTGAATGGCCCTGCTCCCTGCTAGGGATCTTGCTGTCTTAGTCTCGCTGTCTAATTTCGCTGTGTGTATGTGTGTGTGGTTACAGCCCATGCTATGAGTGTCTGGCCACATGTCTCTGTTACAGTAGCATATGGGTATGTGTGGCGGCAAGAGGACGCACAGGGCTGGCATATTGTTGGCAGACCAGTGTCATGGATAGCTGGTGCTTCCTGTTTTGGCAGTCATTGCAGTCCATTTAAGCCATTAAGCTGTTGCATGTATCCTCAGTCCACAGTAACAGAGCACTTACTTTCTTGCACATGGAGTATACGCACATAAAATCACATGCGCGCATTGTTGTGTACTGGACCTTTTCACTGTTTGTATCATTCTGCTTGTCTGATTTTGTGCGGATTTTTCAAAGTCTTTCTATATAGTTATGCCAGTAATTAGTGGCAATTGATTGTTTAGGAGTGAGTCATTGAATCATTCGTTCAACTGATGCGTTCATTCACTTTATTTTTTGTTTTTTTTGGACATAAGAAAAAGCTTGCGCGCAATCTGGGAAACGTGGAGGCAAAATGACAAAAATAATTAATCAGAATACCTAGCAAAATTGTCTCCTCTTAGTTCATGGACAGCTCCTGCTCACACTCTCTGCCTCTGCATGTTTCAGAAGGGAATGATTCAGATTTCCCATGCCACTGCACTAGAAGACAGACGGGTCACTCACGTCCCACTACGTAGTCAAGCTCTGTTTGAGTCTGCGCGTCAGGGACGGAAGTGCTAAAAAATCGCCAAAAACGGGCTTCAATCGTCTCAATGGAGTTCCAATGAGATCGCTCTGTCCATTTCTTTTACTGTCTATGGCAAGACCCGACGGTTCAGAAAAGGGGATTTGAGTGATTAATAGTCAGTATATGTATTCACTGTTATCCACGTTAGATTTCTTCTTGACTTGCACTGACATTGTGAACTTTTGTAAAGATACATTTTGTCATTACCTTTTAAATATATCATAAAGAGTTTCTTTCCTAATAAAGAGTACAAACCTTGGACGCAACTTCTCCAGTGAGTTATTAAAACATTAATTTAACTACTGTAGTTTTTTTCAGAAACACATGTATTCAGGAATGATACAAGTGACTGTCTTCATGAATCACTGAATATTCTAATAGATATTTATAATCCAATTAAACCAATTTTTGTTTTACTTTAATATTTGCTTCAACTTGGTCACTGTTAAGTATGTATGCGTTTACTTGAAGCAAGGGTAGTTGTTGACTCTTTGTATTTGTTTTACAGGGTGCCACCATAAAGAAAGATGAACGTACTGGAGCGATCATAGTGGCGCGCATCATGAGGGGCGGGGCTGCAGACAGAAGTGGTGAGCACTAATGCGCCTCTTCTCTTGCTACACAAATGTACCCTAATAATACCCAGATATTTAGTTTGTTTCCAACACACAAAGCTTGAGATGGTTTATCACACTGAATAAACTTAACTTCTCTTGATATCCACTGCTATTTGTTGCATCCAGGGCTGATACATGTCGGAGACGAGCTGAAAGAGGTTAATGGTATCCCTGTTGATGACAAAAAACCTGAGGAAGTAATCCGCATTCTGGTATGTGTGCGTTTGTGAAGACAACTAGAAATCTCATAAACCGCATGTTTAACAGTTTGTAGTATTGTGAAACGGTGGTTTTATCCAGTGGAAATTGCTTGGACCGTTAATGTGTAAAACATTATTGGCTAATAATAGTTTTCCTCCTAGCTATTACAGAATAAAAATAAAAATGTTTTAGCAAGAGAAAGTAGAATGCACCAGTGCACATTGTTCATGTAATTTACCAAAAAGGTTATTGATTGTGTCTTTGTTGATTCTGCTCTGTTTACAGTCCCAGTCGCAAGGTGCCATTACTTTTAAAGTGGTCCCAGCCATCAAAGAGGAGGCACAAAGCAAGGATCCCAAGGTACAATTCATCAGCATTGCTGCCGATCAGACATGACAGTTTTGGAAAAAGAGATGGCCGATATGGGATGTTCTACTCAGATGGTGGGGAAGGAGGGGTTTCTCTGTAGATGTACTATGGGCTGCTGCTGCCTTGACAGATGAACTTTTGTTCCCATCCATCTTCAACACAAATGATTTGCACTAAACCTCTCAGCTCCTGTCTAGCTATGTCGATCTGTTCCTAAACCAAGTGAGCTACATGAAACCTCAATAATGACTGATGCAATGCTCTGTACGCAAATTCAGACAGAACTGTTGACACTTAAATGATTCTTACACAGGTTTTCGGCTGGGCATTGAAAAGCATTAAAAGTCATTAAATGGATTTTGCGAAAATTAAGGCCTTAAATGACAAAATCCGACAGGCATTAAAAATTGTAATGGTTTTGAAGAAAATGTTATATTATCAATTTATTTAAATATAGCCTTCATAATTAATCATTTTTATTTGCTATCGTAAAACTTTAGTGTGATAAACCCGCAAAACCAGTTTGGTAATTGCTTCCTGGCAGAGCAAAATTACCGTGATGCGGAGGTGACATATATTAGGGCTGTCAACATTAATGTGTTAATGCATGCGATACATTTTTGTCCAGGTTAACGTGTTAAAATATTTAACTCAAAAAGCAGCATCCATTAATTTGTGTCATCCTTTGGTTAACGTTACATTATATGATCCTGCTCTTATTCATGCAAATGAACACGCTGCCTGTGGATGTCCTGTGTATATGATACACGCACACAGAGAGAGAGAGAGAAATATGCACACCAGATCGTGCGCACAAAGTACTTTTGCGCGTGAACAAACAATAACACACAATTATGACAAAATGTCTGTTTTGTCGAGTATCCTCATAACATAAGAGCAGTCTTAAATTAGTGAAATAAAGTGAGGGCAAAGAGTTGTGAGAATGGTGCTTGTGTGAGATGTCGGGCAGCAGCGGCTGGTTTATAAAGGTCAGCCAATAAAGCTTTTTGTCAGTAAAATTAATCACAGAACAAAGGGACCAGAGAAAATTACTCACTTCTATTGACTAAAGAACGTTTTGTAGTAATTTATGCCATACAGATTGTTTGATAACTTTATCCAGACCTCAGTAGCTGTATTAGTATCAGTGATCCTAGCCTTTATGTTGTCTCTACAGTCATTTGTACAGGTAGATCAACTGTGAAATGATTACGTTCTAAAATATATAAACTAATATAAATCTTTAAAAATGTAAGTGATTTTAATTGCGATTAATCGCAGAAAGAAAAAGTTCATTTTTTTTATCGATTTATATAATATCCGTGTTTAGTCATGGGTCGTGTATGGCATTAAAAATTAAAAAAAAAAAAAGAGGCATTTTTAATTTATTTTTTTTAACGGCAATACAGAATGGAGTGCAGGCATGAACTAAGTTAAAGACTTTATACTAATAAACAAAAAACATAAACTACTAACAAAAAAAATTGGTGAAAAAGCACATATAGGTTTTTTCAAACCTTGGCAATGGATTCTGGGATTAATCATTCTAATGTTTTGAGTTTTTTTGTTGTTGGTCAAATATATTTTTTTTAAATAGTATCTGGAGTAGTTCTGTGACAATTATAAATTCTTAATTTTTTTATTATATACAAAGCTTAAAAAAACAGCATTGATTTTAAACAAGTAGAAGTCTTCCTTTAAATATGTAATCCTTGCTAAATTTATACAGTGTGTATATATATATATATATATATATATATATATATAGACCCCAAACTATTGAGCCATTTCTTTGCGGGTTTATTCTATTAGTTTTACTGTGCTGTAATGGTTTAAATATGTTTTAGTTTTAAATTCAGTCATAACCCACATGTGTATTACCCAGTGACAATAGTTTACTGTTTTCCGCACATGTAATGAATATGTTGAAGTGCTGCTAATTGGCTGCACATGTGTAAGAGGGATAGAAAAATGAAGTGCAGGACAGAGAGATGAAGCGTTCCCTCAGGATGTATATGGTGTGTTTGTGGGGAACGTTCTCCCCTGTAACATTATTTTTCTGTATTGCACATGCAACTCTCTAAATCAACACAAGCCACTGCTCTGTGCTTTGGGGACTTTGCTGTCTCCGTATGCTCTGTAACCCTTTATTTTCTTATTTGTCTTTATTGATTTGATGTGTCTGCTCAATCACTCCAATCCTCCAAACACCTCATGATCTCCTTTAGAAAGTTAGCGCTAATGAGAATCGCATAGCATTTCCAAGAAGATTTTACACGTGTGTAAATTAAGCATGTCTGCTATTCAAAAATGCACCTTGATTTGGTAATTATTTAGAGAGAGGGATGGAGCAGATGTGATTTGAATCTTTCTCTTATTTCATTTTAATCCATTTAATGTTAGTTTTGAAGCTGCTTCTCTCTCTCTCTCTCTCTCTTGCTCTTCAGATGTTTGTAAAGGCGCTTTTTGACTTCAATCCAGCTGACGATAAGGTGATCCCTTGCAAGGAGGCAGGCTTGGCATTCAGGATTGGAGATATCTTGCAGGTTATGAGCCAGGAGGATGCCACCTGGTGGCAGGCCAAACTCGAGGGCGATGGCAACCCGCGCGCTGGACTCATCCCCTCCAAACACTTACAGGAGAGGTTAGCCAATGCTTTTCTCTCTTCCCTGCTCATTTCCTCCCACTATCGCCAGTTTTAAATTCAACAGCCCTCCTTGACTCCATCATCTTGTCCGCCCTCTGTCCAGCCCCCTCATATATCATATTCACCTTTCATGCATCCATCTCTCTGTCTCTCGATCATTCCAGACTTCTTCCACTCCATTACAACCTGACTTTCACTCCCCACTATGAAAGGAATGACTTTTCTGACTTTTTTTTTTGTATTCCTCATCATTTTTTTCTCCTTTTTGTGCAAGTCGGCTCGGCCAAAATACTTTGGATTTCCGTGGCTGTCTGGGCTGGAATGAGTAATGACAGACAGTGATAGCACTGGTTCACATCCACTTTAGACGTCCACGCACGGAAAAATGGCACATCAGTGGCTTTCTTTTTCGTAAAGTGGACTCTGATGTATATGCATGTGTGCTGCCTTAGGAAATAGTTTCTTTGCTCTGTTTCTCTTGAAGAAAGTAACTTTCATTAGTAAAACATATTTTGAACCTGTCAGGTGTACAGTAGCAAGTGCTGTTTCTGGCTGACCACTCACTCACTCACTCACACACACACACACACACACACACACACACACACACACACACACACACACACTCTCTCTCTCTAATGGATACTTAGGCAGGTAGCTCTGCATTGTAGTTAAGTGTTTAGTAATCCCCACATAGCTGTGAAATCTGAGGGTTTTACTGCTTGTCTCTGTACAGCTACGCTCATGGCAACAGACTAGGGTTGTCAGTCAGGTTTCTTTTGCTAAATTACCAAACATTAAGTTAGGTTTAAAAAAAAAAATCGAAACTAATTGACACATTTTGGTAGTGAATGAGTGACACATAATATATACGAAGACCAAACAGACTCTTGAGTTTAGATTTGATGTGTGATTGCTCTCACTCGCACTTTTATCAGTAAATAGTTGTCTGTCCCAATTTAGCTCTGTGAATTTATACTACTGTTTACTACTATTTATATATCTTTGTCTTTCTCTCTGACTTCCTTTAGGAGGTTTGCAGTCTGGAAACCCCCGACCATCACTACTCTTCAGAGGACCCCCAGCAAAAGATTTTGTAAGTACCACACTCAATCATGCAACAACCGAACACATACACAGCTCCACAATGTTTCCCCCCCTACTGGTCAAGCCATTAGTTGTTGTCCCACTATGAATAATTCTCATTAGCACATTTTTAAATATATTTATATTATATATATTTAGTAGACATTTTTGTGTTTTTCCATTTAAATTTAAGTGTACTTAACAATTTCACTTTATAAAACTGTGTTGTTGTTTTTTAAGTGCTCCAAAAACTGGAAATTATGTACATATAATGTACCTGTAACATTCAAACACTTTTACTGGAAAGCGATAGCATATGATAAAAAACATTACTCTTTGGTTTGTCGTTTCACATTTTTAATGTTATCATTAAAGGTGGTTACAAATTACAAGGTGGTTACAAAAAAATGTTCTGCAATTTTAACAAACCTCACCCATGTCAGTCAACTAGATAACTAGGTTTTAATGATTTACAAATTATAATGATTTGTCACCAAGATGAACAGTTTTGATTTAATTATAGAAACTTAACAGTGCTTCTCAGCCAGGGGGATGGGGCCTACTATGAGGACTTAAAAGCATTTTAATAAATACATTATTATTAATATATAATATAATCAAACTCCAAAACGAATGGTTCTTTTTAAAATACTTTATATAATACTTTAATACTTTAAAGAATATTGAAATCTCTGGAATCACACAATTCAATTAAATACATCAATACTCGGTTTCTGTTAATTGCTTCAATTCAACTTTATTCCAGACTCGTGGTCCAATATAGATGTAAGATACACACACACACACACACACTAAATAAAAAGAAACAACAATTAAAAAGGCATTTTAAAAAGACAGCTGTACCAATGCCTCCACAGCTTGGACTGCTTGTTTTTTTTTATTAAAGCAGAAATATCAAATAATGTGTTTGACAACAGCCTTAGAGTCAAACAGGTTGAGAACCTCTGGTTTAAAACATGGTTGTAAAAAATAACTGAATGTAAAATTTCCAGCAGTAATGCCCAAAACACTCTCTCACTGACCTCAGGCTAGACACCGTTTTGTTGAGCCCTGCACACACTCCTCCTTTTGTTCCTGGACTACAGCAGAAATGATTTTTGAACTGTCATATGAGAGAGGCCCATGCAATGCAGATGCTGCGACTAGACAAATGAATAGAAGGAACAGCAACCGGAAAAGATTAGATGAGGGGCTGGGAAGTGCAAGGTGAAGTGAATGCATACAGGGAGCCCAGACTCCCCTGATTGATGCCAGACAGATATGTGCACACATATGTATTCATGTACATGTGCATTAATGCACGCCTGGACATAAGCTCCCTCTCCTGCTTTTCATTAATCTCTCACATTTGACTATTGTATGTGTGTGTGCGTGTGTTTGTACGCCACAGCTCTAATCTCTCCCTCCGACTGACATCAGGGGTCTTTATGGAGCTATGCTGGGTTACTCTCTACACATGGGCACACTTAAGACTCACCACGAGACAGACCTGCAGCAACACTCTCGACATGTTGTCGTCATCCGTACAGCTACACGCACACTTGATTGAATAATACAGCCACTCTGGATTCTTATGCCCAAAGCCACATGTTTGGCCTCCCACCTTTCCCATTTTTCTCTGTCACTCCGTCGGCTGCTTAAAACTGCTTAAAAAAAGTCAAAGTCAAAGTTGATGTGTGCGTCACTGAATTGTCAGTATTGATGCGTTTTCCAGGACCACCCCTGGAATCGTGAAACTGTCATCTTCGCAAACCCGTTACGTTTCACTTAATGAACAAGCATAAGTAATATTTAAGTCCTGCTTTTATGCTGATTTTCATATGTAGAATTTTTCGGAATCACGTCACATATGGAAATTTGTGAAAAACAGAAAGCTAATGTCTCCATGTCTGACTTGACCAGAAGCAGTCTGTATTCAATATCAATCCAAACTCAAGTGTTGTAGATGCATATAGGTGTGCTTGACCGCATGATGGGGCACTTTAAAAGTAAGACCATCTGTCCACTTGCCTGCTGTGCGGTTAGTCTATATTTCAAAGAGCAGCGATGAGGGGCTTTCTCTGGATGACTGAACATACGCTAGTGCTTTGCACTACAGACATGTGCTGTCAAATAAAGCCTTACTTTTCAGAACAGCATGACAACTAGCTGAGACTGTATGTCATATCCATTATAAACCCCACACCCCTAGGCAGGTACAGAGGCTTAAACTTTCAGGGTTTCCACGGTCAAACCATATTGAAAGTCTGTTAAAATTTAACAGTGTTTTATTTTATTTTTTTACATTGTTACATTTGTAATATATATATATATATATATATATATATATATATATACTGTATATATATATATATATATACACACACACACAGTGAGGAAAATAAATATTTGAACACCCCTGAGACATAATCTTAAAAAAAAAAAAAATAATTCAGAAATCACAATGTATGATTTTTGAACTATTTATTTGTATGATACAGCTGCAGAAAAGTATTTGAACACCTGTCTATCAGCTAGAATTCTGACCCTCAAATACCTGTTAGTCTACCTTTGAAACGTCCAATTCCACTCCATTTATTATCCTAAATTAAATGCACCTGTTTGAGGTCGTTCGCTGCATAAAGACACCCGTCCACCCCATACAATCAGTAAGAATCAAACTATTAACATCTCCAAGGTTAAAGAGCCGTCCAAGAGAGCTGACACTTCAGACAAAATTGTACACTTCCACGAGGCTGGAAAGGGTTACTGGGAAATTGCCAAGCAGCTTCGTGAAAAAAGGAAAATGGAAGAAGCTAAACATGACTGTCAATCTCCTTCGGACTGGGGCTCCATGCAAGATCTCACCTCGTGGGGTCTCAGTGATCAAGTATAAACAGAACATGTGGTATCTACAATGGGATTGATATAAATCTGTGTTCATAAACATTGAATCAGTTGGTCTGCCCATTCACGTGCTTTGGTTTGTGCCCTTTTAGATGTTTGTTTGACCAGATATAATTTCAATCCAATTGTTCTGTCATAACTGTAGATATGGAAACAATTTAAGCACCCTTTTAATCTACACTCACCATCCCTACTTATTTGTAATAATCATCTGTTGTAGATTCATTTATAAATTGTGGGAGGTAAAAGGCATCTGCTAACTTTTTGGAATTATTCTGTCATGTAAAAGTTTGTGCAGTCCAGTCTGTGGTAGCTTTATTTCTTTCTTTTTTTGTTTTTGTTTTACTCTTTAAAACTATTTAAAAAAAGGATCATATATTACTGACAATGGCTAGAAAAACATGCTAGGTGTAGGAAAGTTCACTGCTTCATGCACTTGCCTCGCACAGTTTCCATTTCTTTGAAATACGCCTCCAGTAATTATGACAGATGTGACCATTATTCATTTTCATTTTGTAAATCTTAGCCATTTTTTCTTATCCTAAGCTTAGTGGCTTCACTTGTCCTAAACCTTAAAAGTCCTTGGATCCTCCTTTTTTTTTTTCCTTTGTGTCAAACCAACAAGAAAAAAAGATGCCTAAGGATTCTCCTGACTGATAGCACACAATTTTACTGCCCTCCATCATCCTCTTCATGGTATTGCTTTCTTGGCAGGACTGTGTGGATGTGTATGGCATGCTGTGTAGATGTTGCCCTTTGCTCGTGTGTGTTTTGATTTAGGCTTGTTTAGTAGAATTGAGACCACATGAACTGGAGGAAGCTTTTAAAGTGACTCCAAATGTTCCCATGTCTTCGGGCATGCACATGCACACTCAAATACACACTTTCTTTGCTGTTATGAACTGTTAGTAGTTCTGTAGCTGCAGTTTCCTATGAGGTAAGCAATGGTTTACCACTTAATGGCATACTGAAGACTTTTCATCGAGTACAAACAGATTTTTTACATTTGTTCAACATTTAAAGGCATAGTCCAATTGAAACTGATCATTTGCTCATCCTGATGTCGTTCCAAACCTGTATATTGTGTAAAAGAAGACATTTTTAAGAATGTTAATGCAAAATTGCACCCCATTGAATTTATTTAAAGAGCAGAAGAAAAAGTCCAAATGGTTTGGAATGATTTGAGGATAAGTAAATGATTGACAGAATGACAGAATTTCTATTTTTGGTTAAACTGTACCTTTAATTTTTATATTTCAAATCATGTTTGTAATGTGTACTTCCAGTCACATGACTTTATCTTTCCTTTTATTTATTTTTTCCTTTATAAGATGATGAGACAGTCGAACGGGGTAGGTCAGTTTCTCTTTTTTCTTTTCCCATCACTCTCTTGATCTGTTTTTAATCTTTTTATGTTTATCATATTCCTTTCTTTGCTTTCCCAGTGGAGGAGACTGAAGGTACTAACTCTGGTTCGGCTATGAAATATCATAGCCATTAAATCATTGGCTGGGGACCCCTGTATGTGGTAATAGAGTACCCGAACAATGAAGATATGGTTGATTAGAATTCATTGGTCCACAACAGCCTAATGGAGCGTAGCAGAGTGTGTAAAGGGGCCAAGAGTTCATTACCCTACTGTATCTCTCTCATACTGTATACTAAAACATACATTCACAAGCACTTACACTTCAAATGAGATTAGAATGATGAGTGCTCAAATGAATCCCACCCATTTTAGTCTTTCGCCATGATAGACCGTGTGAATGTGATTGTGAACATATTCCCCCAGTATTTCATAGTCTTGTTGTGAGAGACGCAAAATATGTTTTAACTTATTATTTTACCCCATCTGTAAGGTACGTATTGAATGTATTATGTGTTATGTCTAATAGACAAAAGAAATCTGAAGTTTATGGCCCTCGTGGAAAGTCGTGGATGTTGAATGTGAACACTGCCAATAGATCTGTCCCCTGGTTTAGTTGTAGAGGATCAATAGATGAAGGAAATATGACCTTTTGTGCTTGTCTGTAAACCGTTCAAAAGTTTGTTGTCGGTAAGATTTTTCAGATATTTTTTAAAAAGATCTTTTTTGCTCAAGGTTATATTTGTTTGATCAGAAATACAAAAAAAAAAAATGTACTGACCTACTTTTGAACGGTAGTGTAATCATTGTCAATACAGCTTATACAGTAGTAATATGAACAAAACTGACAGTCTTTTCTTGCAATTGGCAATCTGTTTTGCTCATCTTTCAGTATGCAGTAGTGTTCCTATCTTTCTCTCTAATATAAATCTGTCTTGGTTCCTTCTGCCTTTCATAATTTGAAGAGGACAATGAGTTTGCTTCCTATTTAAGTGGACTCCATATTGGTGAGCTCTTTTTGATTACGCTTTGTGTCTGTCCTCCACTCGTCTCTCTCCTGTCTGATTCATATTAATGTGTGTATATCCTGTTCGGTGTCATTCTCTTGTAACAGTTTCTTGTGCTGTTAGCTCTCAATATTCTCCCTCCTTCTCCTTCTCGATGTGCGTCTGCTCTGTCGGACAATAATCTTTTTTGACATGTGGCTGCACGCTGTTGCATGTCCTATGGTATCATTGTCAAGCTTCCTTCTGGCTTAGTTTGCATATCTCTTCTTTTATAAGTGGTCGGCTCAATCAGCCTGCCGACTTCCCCTTTTTTTGTAGTCTGGTTTTTGTAGTCTTTACTTTTTTTCTGTCATGACCATGTGAAGATGTCAAGTTTGACATTATTGTCAGTAGCGATTCCTGTGTTGTGATGAGTCTTATCCACAATACAAAATGGAGAATTTAAACATACTGCAACTATCTGATATCAGTGAAATCCAAGTAATCAGTTTTCTTCCAGTCCTTTTGTAGAAAAATAAATAAATAAAAGAGCCAAATATGCTTTCGTTTATCATATAGCCACCACGAGCTGCTGTACTTTCTGATTTTCCTGCGTGTTGGCAGTGTTTTTAGTTTAAATAGATCTTTCTAAATGTTCAACATATTGCATTTAAAGGCGCTGGTTTATTTCCAGGCTTTGTGGTGGAGGTCCGGCGGGCTCTTGATGTGGTGCGTGTTGGACATTGGGCTGTTTGAAGGCCAGCTTTCAGTCAGGCCTTGGTCTGGTTTCCATCTCTAGCATCAGTGTGTGGAAAATGAGTGTGCCGTAGCATTGTCATGATATGTTACCGCACAGACTCATGTATTCTGTTGTACAGTATGCCCATCAGGGACAGCTCTATACAGTGGCCGCAAAACGTTCAGTATTTCCATGGGTCTTTAAGTATTAAATATCTTGAGTAGTACAAAAATCACTTATTTGTCTTTTGCAAGGGTCTTGGGTTTCAGTTCACAGCAATTTCCCCTCCCTGCTTAATGTTCTGTAATCACTCCATTCTACATCCACTTGAGGTATTCCATTTCCCGTTCCCAATTTCATTCCTTCATTTCAGTGAGTCTATTAGATTAGATATGATATGATAAATTAGATTATTATGAAGGTAAATATTGTTATTTATTTGTACATTTTGATATAAAGATATTTATTAAAGGTTTCTAGTGTTTTTTTTTGTTAATCTTCAGCAAAGCTGTATTATTATTTATTTGATCTAAGTACTGTAAGAACAGTATTAATTAAATAATATTGCAATTTAAAATAACTGTTTACTATTTTTATATATAATGTAAATTATTCCTGTGATGCAAAGAAAGCATCGTTACTTCAGTCTTCAGTGTCGCATGATCCTTCAGACATCATTCTAATATGCTGATTTGGTGCTCAAGAAACATTATTATTAATGTAGGAAACTGTTGAACTTTATTAGCATTTTTTTCAGGAATTTAAAAAAATGAATAAAAGAACAGCATTTATTAAAAATGGAAGTCTAGAGTAACATTATTAGTGTTGTTTAAATTTTGCTTTAGTCACTTTTGATCAATTTAATGCAGCCTCACTGAATAAAAATAATGTATTTAACAAAAACTTCCTGACCCAAACCTTTTGAATGGTATATTTTGTATATGTATGTTAATTGTACGTATATTGTATATTAAAGGTATCTTAATTAGATTCTTCTTTTGTTATATTTTTATAATGTTGTCGGGGCCACTGTACTTGGTTTCCCCTCCTGTTTCTTGTTTTTTGCAACTTTTTGAATTAATCAAATTAATTTCTTTCTTTCTCTCTCTCTCTCTCTCTCTCTCTCTCTCTCTCTCTCTCTCTCTCTCTCTCTCTCTCTCTCTCTCTCTCTCTCTCTCTCTCTCTCTCTCAGTCTAATGAGTAGTAGATATTAGTCTGTTTGTGTAAACCCTAAGCCGCTGGCCACTCATTTGAACTTTTTTGATTTCTCAGGCGATCCTGTGGGTAGAAAGTTTATAAATAAAGCCGTGCAGTCCCATCTGCCAAGCTCAATCAAGCGCCGTCATTCAATAGGGATAACCTTTTCAACGCTGTGCCTCTCGCTCCCCCCTTTTTTTTTATCTGCCGTCCTGTTTTCTTCCACGCTTTCATTACCGGCCTTCTGACCTCAGCCTCTCCTCTTCCTCCCAACAGCCTAAGAACCTCAAGGGCTGGTCCCTGTACAGCTCCTTCCAGCTTCCGTGCCCTGCCATGCATTTCATATTCTGTGTAACAGGAGAATTTTTTAACTTCTTTAAAAAAAAAAACGTAAAACTTACAAGTCCCATCATTGTACTCTGTCTTGCCTGCAGTCTAATTCGCTGTTATGATTTGAACCTGGTGTGGTAGTAATGTAAGACTGTCTAACACGGATGCTTTGCTAGTTCTGCTCCACCCCGTGTCAGTGGGATGAAGGGGTGTCAGGCATGCAAGGAGTATTAGTCTTAATCCCAAGTGTGCCATCCATTCATATATGTCAGCAGTAAGGTTTTCAGCTGAACCAGTGCATATGTGTGTGTGAGGGAAAAAAATATGTCTATTGCTTTGAACATGGCAAATAGTGTTTTCTACTGTATATTACTTTTTTGCTAAATGAATGGGATGTGATTTGATGTGAATACAGGTTTTCCATAATCAGCTAATCCTAATGACCTCTGCACTATGAGGGGGACCACAATTTAGGATAAGTAAAAACAGGGAGGAAAGGCGATGGGAGTCAGAAGGAAGAACAAAAAAAATGAAAACATTTGGGGGCAGAAGCTAAAGCTGGGAAAGCCATCAGCCCCCGGAATCCAATTAAGGCAGGAGTTATGGAAAAATGGAGACGTGTTTTAGACTAAAATAAAAAAAAAAGCTCAATTTCCAAAATGAGTTTATCTCATCTGTCCACAGGTTCACTCCTGAAGGAGTCGCACCGGGGCCAGAAGCCTCGAGGCCTGTAGCTGTGCACAGCTTTCGATTACCACGCTTTTCCCCACACCGACCCCGGCTCAGGTGGATACACTTTATTATAATCGGCTGAAATCACTGGGATCTTAATTTGGAGGGGTCGTTTGGCAGTGTCTCTAATTTTGTGTGTATGGTAGACTAGATTTGAATTCGCCATGGACATTGAGAGAAAATGTGTGTCTCTTCGACTGATTTGTAGCCAGTACATAAAGTAGATAATTATAGTCTCGATGTCCTTTACTCAGTGTTTGGCTATCCATCTGTGGGGGTCAGGAATGGCCAGACTTTGCAGTGGTTCAGTGAATAGGTTTTGTGTGTCTGTTGGTAATGTTTGCATGTGGGTGTTTTGTATCTCTGATGGAAGGAACAGGTGATTGATGAGACTAACAGGAGGGCTGTGTCCTCCAACTATCCCCTTGGATTTGTAGTTCAGATACTTACTAAACCTGCTAGTGATGACTACACCGGCTTGACCTGGCAGCCCACTCAGTTTGTCTGTGAGAGAGACTGTTTAGCCACGTTGAGAGCTGAGCTCCAGGGCCATAACGGCTGATGTCTAAGCCCACTTGGGCTCACTCCGGTCGGTCAGAGGGTTTAAATTTGACCGCGATGGATCACAAAAGTGCAATAACATGTTTTGCAAAAAAAAAAAAAAACTTGTATACTTTTTAGCAACAGTATTCCCTTTACACTATAGCAATAAAATATTTCTTGTAAATCATGCAAACATATGATCATATTTATCAGGCTTCATAATATTTTAACTTTCGCTTGTATTAATGCGTTTACTATATACTAGGGCTGTGCAAAAGTTAATTGCGATTAATCGCATCCAAAATAAAAGTCTGTGTTTACATAATATATTTGTGTGTGCTGTATATAATTATTTTGTATATATAAATACACACACATGCATGTATATATTTAAGAAAATGTGTTATTCATATATAAAATATTTATATTTATATAATATAGATTATGTATTTATAAATATATACAGAATTTAAGCGCAAATAATTCTTAAATATATACATGCATGCATAGGTATTTATATATACAAAATAATTATATACAGTGCACACAAATATATTATGTAAACACAGACTTTTATTTTGGATGCGATTAATCGCAATTAACTTTTGCACAGCCCTACTATATACCTTTTATCCAAAGTGACATTGCATTTAATGTATATATTTGTACAGTTTATGATTACATATAAATGGCATATTTGTATTATTGTATACAAATATATAATATATTTTGATAAGTAATTATGCCTCTAAGAAATTCTGGTAACGTTTCCTTTTACAGTCCTGTTACCCATGTACATACACTGTATTTATTATAGTACTGGGTAATAACTAGGTACTAACCCTGAACCTACCCCTAACCCATGTACTTACCTTATATTAGCCAGTACTTTCCAGGTAAGCACACTGTAAGTACACGCAAGTACTGTACTGTAAAAGGAAGCGTTACTGAAATTCTAACAATCCTTTCTCTAAATTTGGAATTTGGGATAGGGCAGAGGAAAAACAAATATCACTCCTTGATACAAGTCTGTTCTCATCCGGCCAACAGGAACGAAGAGTCGGTATTCAGCGCAAGCCTGTAACACTTGGGCAGAACACGACTTTCCACTTATGCAGCACAATGGAATCCACTCCTACAGTGTGTTTCCCCTAGACGGCTATTCTTAACGAGTTCAACATGATTCAAAGCTGTGCCCAATACATATTTCAAATAGCTCTACTAAATACTTGTTTTTCTTTAATCGTTGCCTGTGAGAGTTATCCATCTTGTCCCCTGGATCCAGACAGTTCGTGTTCGTGCTTTTCTGTGGGAATGTTGAAAGATAACTGTGGTTGGTAAAGCGTTTGTTGGAGACTGGTTTCCCTTACAAGAGATGGAATATAGTTAGTGTGCACATGAGATGAGATCAGACGATTTTGGTACGTGCGATTTGTACCGGAAACTCGGTGTTTAATGCTGGGGGTCCCTCAGACACCACCCCAGGGGCCTGTACACTACTGCTAAACCCTTCCACAGATGACCGTAAAAGAGGGTGGGAGTGAGTGAATGGATCATTCACATGCTCAACATGGAGCTCTCCGTTAAACTTGTTTTGGGTGGAAGGTGTAGGACGGTGCATTGCACAAGAGAGTTCATTTCCTCTTTTCCCGAAGCCTTGAAACGGTTCAATCCTGTTCAATCCTATCCATATCGTTCTCTGAATCTGTAAGAAGTGCCATACTTCGGAAAATTTACTGAATGATTAAATATGACTTACAAGCTTAGGACAAGGTTTATCCAATCCCAAATAGTGGATAAAAGAATTAGTCGCAGATTGTAAACCAAACAATGATGGAAAAATAGGAGAGCTCTATGAAATCATTTTCAGTTTGACTGATCACTCTACTGAGTATTATGATTCCCCTCGTTTGGTTACCTTATCTTTTTTATAAATGTGAATGTGCATCATTCCGAATCCATACAGGGAGTTAATGTGTTTGAAGGTTACTACCCCTTGTAGGCCTTAACGTTTTTGAATCCCTCGGGGCTTTCACCTCACAGATATACTAAATTTCTTCCACGACTGTAAGATATTATTGCTGTGGAAAATGGGCATTCGGGAGCCACAGCAGCTTTCAGGCGAATGTGTGTGCGGCGGCAGCGCGTGTCTTTCTCTGTTTACACTGAATTTGGGCCTTTTCATTGTTTTTCCTTCCATATCCCAGTGGAAGAACAGGTTTGATTTGTGAACTGCTAGTTGGTGATGGTAGGTTGCGTAGCTCTGAGGTCCAATTAACTTGTCACGCAACAGTGCACGCCATTAGGAGGTGCAGGTTTGGGCCTCTGCAGCGAGCACGTGTCGGTCTTCTAGCCTGTACTGTCATATCCAGAGGGGAAATGGGAGGAATTTTATGACTGTCCTTGGCTAGTTGGCTTTTTCTTTTTATATGATCTTCATCCCCAAACCAGAAGGCACTTGCCTGAGCATTTCTAATATACCCAAGCTGCCTTCTGTCACCACACGTCTCACAAAGCGAGATGCGTCCTTTGGAATAAGACAGAACTAAGGTTTCCTGACAAGATGCAGGACCAAAATGTTGAAACATTTCTGCTAAGACAAGAATGGATTAATTTCCATGCTTTTTTTCTAATTCAACCTCAATCAGTTTGGGGAACTCGAGTTGCTATCTGAGCCTTGATTTATTTATCCTTATTGAGATGGAAGGCAATATTTCGGCTATTTGGATGGAGCCGTCTATCCTGATTTAAGTGGTTTTGAAGGGTCCCGATTACGAAGCCTCTTTATACAAAGAACTGCAATTTTCATTGACTAGCCACAGCCGAGCAGCCGAAATGAAAGCTGTGCACCTGCTCTGTGCTCGGGAAAATGGAGCTTCCCATTGCCAGAGTTAATCAACAAAATAGTAAAATTGAACAGAACAAGCCACTCAGTTTTTCAGTTTACTAAAGGTCACGGTCACATCCTTTCGAAGGGATTGTTGCTTTCAAATGGGCAACTAGTACTTTTTTTCCCATCAAATGCTGTTGATGTTTGTCAGATAATCATACCTTTATGCCTACCTTTTAATAATAATGTAACTCTTGATGTTTATGTAGTCAGGGCTGAGTTTTAGCGTGATGGCTAGACGTCAAGTGGCACGAGCAGCAGAAGACCACAGGTTAGCCTGAGTGGGAGAATGCTCTGTCCTAAACGCTTGTAACCAAATCCCCACTGTGGAACCACACAAACACTTGTGTTGTGGTATAGCAAGCGTTTGACTTACGGTGTGTTTCATTTGTATCCCAGAGTAGGTCCCCACAAGCCCTTATTAGGTGACTATGTGGAAAAGAACAAGCTGTAAAGAATGCAGGATCTCTCCACGGCTGCACATCTGTGCTCCGCGGTCTCTCGGTACTGTGGAAAGTATTAAAGGGGGACTGGATCAAGGTTGTTTTTTTCATTCCCCTTCTCAGTCCATAACTTTCTTACTGCCGTAATCTTACTTGGGCATCTTGCATCATATCCCTGCGTTTATTAATCACATCTTGAAAAAAAAATGCTGTGGAGGCGGGAGGGGAAAATGCCTTGTGCAGCGAGGGTATTGGTATATGGGGTATTAGGTGTCTCTGGTTTGGGGCTGTGCTAGACTAACTAGCATCTGTCATGAATATAAAACCATGCTGCTTAAATGAGGGGTACGTTTTGCGTTTTGATATAGTCTGGGGTCATTAAAGACAGACTGGTGCTGTCCAGAGTAATCAGACAGGAAGTTTTGTGGTGACGTGCCTAACAACCTTTTAGGGCATGAAAAACCACACTTAGCTATGACCATGTCCTGAAATAGCCCACCTCCTGCCATGTCCCCTTGAAAAACGTAGCCTCAGATATTTAAGTCTGGTCGTTTTGTTACCTGGATGTGGATGAAAGAACCACAAGTCGGTGGTCGCCAAGTCGCCATGCACAGGAAAATCTGTTATGATCGGGCCCAGACGGAATCTGTGGAAGTTTTTCGGATTTTCCGTGCTTATTTTTCAGGGAAAATCTGCGGAATGAGCTTCGATATGGTGAAATGTGGTAAATGGAACAAAGAGTACTGAACACTTAACGGTGGATGAAAGTGTCACCAATATGCCAAAATCTTAATTATATACAGTATATGTATATATGTGTATATATATATATATATATATATATATATATGTATATGTGTATATGTATATATATATATATATATATATATATATATATGTGTGTGTGTGTGTATATATATATGTGTGTGTATATATATATATATATATATATATATATATATATATATATATATATATACTAATGATATAAAAAAAACACATTTTAAAAGGTGGTATATATATATATATATATATAAAATCCTTTCATTCACCAAGGACATATTTGATCAAAAGTCACTGACAATTATGATATTAAAAAACTTCTATTTAAAATAAATGCTGTTCTTTTGAATTTAGTCATCTAAGAATCCTGATTTATTGTTATTTTTTTGTGTGTAAATATAATATTTTAAGCCTAGTATGATGCGTCACAATTCTAAGGGTTTATAAAAATCTATGACTCCATCATATCCTCATTCTCAAATGCACATAAGACTGTCAGACAAGCTTGTTGTTCTTTTGTCTTATTTGTTTCTCCTTCACTTGTTCCTCTCCAGCGGGTCTGCGAAGGAGTTTTCGTCTCAGCAGAAGAGATAAGAAGACAAATAAGTCCATGTATGAATGTAAAAAAAGTGAGCAGTATGACACAGCGGATGTGCCGACTTACGAAGAGGTGACAACCTACCGCAGAAAACACGGAGACAGACACAGACTTGTCGTGTTAGTTGGTAAGTATGACAAATTTGATGTCTTTTTTGTCTTTATTTAAAAGTTTTCAGAAATGACCAAATGGAATTTCAAAAAAATTGTTTCTGCTGTGTTTAACCCTTATGCATCCTTATGGACATTTTTGTCCTTTTCAGTTTTTTTTTTTTATCACTTTGCCTGTGTTAAAGCTAACTGCAAATTATTTTTTATTGGAATTTTACTATTTCACTGTCATTTTCTTAAAAAAAATTATTTTTTACATTAGGTGCAAAAAATACTCCCTCTCAGCGCCTTTTGGACAAAAATGTCCACATTGAAACCCATTAAAACTGCAATTTTTAATCTCCGGTTCAGTTAACTATAAAATTATGCAATCCTTGTTAAAAGGCTTTCATTCTGTTGGCAAGGCTTCAAATTTTTATTTTTTACTATTTTTTATCAGATGGTGCTGTTTTTTTTTTTTTTTTAAGTTTGGCCTATAAAACAAATATTGCTTTATTCCTGTTTTCTGCTTCGGCATACTATAGAGCCAAATGGATAAATTATGCAACGATATTTGTGTGGGTGTGTTTGTATGGATGTCAGAGTGTGGTTAGTATGTGTGTTATAAAAAAAATATATGTGTGTGCGCGCATGTGTGTGTTTGTAATACTGAGAGAGAAAAACTGCAAATAACAAATCCAATCACTGTGAGCACCAGTGGGGTTTGCTGGCACCCAATGGGGAAAATGTGCCACTATGCCCAAACAAACTGTTACCGAAAGCTCATTTTTTGAGATATCATCCTCAAATTTGGAACACAACCTATTTAGATTTATGGCTTTGATTCTATTGCAGTTTTGAGTTGAACCTGATTTATAAAGTATATATTTTATATAAAATATTTTTTATAAATAATTTTCATACCTATATAACTTTTTTTTTGGATTTACTTATTATTATTTTTTTTTACTTCAGCAATAATCTGCAAAGGGTCTTCTTTAAAATGATACCAAACTTAAGTCTGTGCTCTGAAGCGTCACATTTTTATGACAGTTTTTTGACATGGACATTTTTGTCCTCTATGTACCTATGTGTAACTTTTTTTAATTGATGCATTTGGTTAGCTCAAGCATGCACGCTTGGTATTTTTTCTTTTTTTTATACTGTTGAGACCACTACACAAATCAAATCACAGTTTTGAGGCTCCACACAAACAGTGCTTTACCCACAACAGCACTTGACTGAAACCCATAATTCCTTTTCTGCTGTGGGACTTTAACTCAAACCCAGCCCTCTGGAGACCCCTGGAGCTGACGGGACCAGCTGAGGATTAATTCATCTATGTGGCACTTCATTCGCAGTGCTGGTGTTCTAACGGAACATTTTATTCCTCCTTAATATTATACACCAAAGAATTGTTAACACTTATTTTCAAGGGAACAGCGAGAGCGAAACTGCAGTGAGATGTCAACTTTACAAAGTGAAAAAAACCTTGAAATATTACGTTTTCGAATTACAGATTTGGTGATTGTTTGCCAGTTATTCTGGACAGAGGATATAGAGGCCAGAACAATGAATTAAGTGTTTCATAAAAGCGTGAATAAAAAGTAATTTAGATTTGTAAGACAGATAATTAGAGGGTTTCAGGTTCCCTTCTTTTTCTTTTTTTTTTTTTTTATATAATATTGAAATGCTGAATTACCCACTTCTCATCGACCTCCTCCACTATGTTAGGAGGTTCATAATTTATTTTTCCCAGTGTAAGGGGTTTGTTGTTGTGAAAATGTCCTCATACTGACAAGTAATGTTGACCAGGTGTATAAAATATTTCACTTACAAATCTGTGGGGTAGCACAGGGTCATGGTTCATCGCAATAGACCAGCCCGTGTGTTTGTGAACGCAACATGGCATATGGATTCTATCACAGTTTTGTTGGTGCATGTAATTAATGGAGTGTGTTTTCACATGCATGTATGAGCGAATATATAAGGTGGTCTGTTTAATTAATCAAGCTTTTTGTACTGTCCGGATTCCCCTTTGGTAATTTGCACCTCATGCGGTCTAACGCAAATATTTTCACGAGTTTTGTCTCGTAAAGGTGGAGGGCAGCATCATGGATGTATCAGACGTGACAAAACCAAGGATGCGGGCTGTGTTTTCTCTCTGAACTGTTATTCTGTCCCTTGAGGTCATGCTTTAGCTTTTCCTGGCCTGCACTTCTACATTTTTTTTTCTCTTTATTTCATCATCTTTGCCAGTTGTTTTATTGCATTTAATAATTCAGCCATCAATGATGCCATTTGAATGTCTTTTCCCTTATACATCTCTCTTTATAGTCTATTCCTGTAGTTGTTGTAGTCATTTCTCTTTTCTTGCTATTGTCTTTGCAGCTTTGAATGAAAGAGATTCATTTGAAAGCACATTCAACTTTTACACTCTCATTTGGTGTTTACTCCTGGCTGCAGACAACAGGGTCAGGCAAATTCACCCTTGAACAAAATAGTATTATTCCCATTTGCTTTCTCTAACACAACTGACCCACGGTTTGTGGTTGGGTTTCAAACTACTTTCCAGACGGATCAAGATCTTATCTATTTGGATACATATTAATCGACCAGCCAAAGTCAACACATTTAACAACTGTGCAGCTTTGCGAACCCGCTGTAGTGTTTTAACTGAAACCTGATTATTTAACATAGCAAATGATCTGTTTTTTTCTACATGTTTGAGTTAAGATTGAAAAGATTTCAGTTGATATAGTGGTAGTTCAGACCCAGACAGAATAACGATGGAAGCGAAGAATGACCATTGAGGAAAACGATGATCTAAAGGAGCTGTCGGATCAGATTCACTATTTTATTTTATGTCAATTTTTATGCTCTTTCCAAACATCTCTGTCTGGGCTTTTATAATTGAACATTACAATTTGGGCTTGCAATGTGTTGTTTCTTCCTAGAACTATCAAGTATAATTTTTTCACATCTGAGCAGTTGGCAGGGTCCTGCACAAGTAGCGTAGTGCCCAGTCTCTCCAAAGGTTTAAACTATTGCCAAAAAAGCTTTGTTTGTGAACTTATCACACACATAAATGTGTAGAAAGGTTATTTATCGGACACACTTGGTGGAATATTTTGATGATGATAATATAAGGACATGATGACTGTGTTTTAGGAGCGTTGAGAGAAGGTTGGATGACGGCCCCCCATGTTTAGCCAGTCTAGCAGCTCCTCAGGGTTAACTGCATCTGCTCCGCGCTTGGCCTGGAAGTTATTAAGCCTTTCATATTAGCCTTCTTCCCTAATGAGCGCCCTAATGACTACTGACACTTTTACGACCACTGCAACCTGCCCCTGTGAGTGCACATATATACTTGGATTGAAAAACAATTACTCAAATGTGTTATTTTATTAGGGCTGTTGAAGAATAAAGGGCTAGTTTTTGTTTGGGTCATTAAAGCGAATGACAATGAACAGAGTAACCAGGACACATCAACAGTTGAAGGCTGTTTAGACTGTGGTGAGCTAGATGGCTACAGGTTTCAATGTTGTTCGTGGCTTTTGGGACACAAGCAGCCATACAGCTGCAGAGATGAGTGATCGAGGGCTTTAAACTCATTAAGTGCGCATGATGAGTGAATAGAATTTTGAAAAGGTTTCTATTTGAGCCTTGGAGCAGGCAGTCAGGGCCTGGTGGGGTCTTGAGATTAACATCTCAGAAAATACTGTTTGAGTTTGGAGGTCCTTTCAAGAGAAAGGAGCATTTGTGGATAAAATATGGCTAGTTAGAGGAAACATTACTGTGTATTTTTTTTTCTTTTCCCACCTACGATATATATATATATATATATATATATATATATATATATATATATATATTGCTCATAAAAATGCACTTTTTTCATATGGCTCAAACAAGAGCTCTGAATTATTCAGTGACTAAAACACTTGAAATGATTTTCTGTTTCCTCACTGTAATAAATCAGCATCTTACTCCTCTCCTCTATCACAGTGGAATAAGGATAACATGTATTGCATAGGCATAGGCTTCTAGTGGAGTCATAGGCGTGTGTGTGTGTGAGAAAGTGTATGATGCACCAAATGAAAATGTGTATTCTCCCTGCGACTTTGAGTAGGAAAAACATCTGTTTTGTGTTCTCTAACATATAGATTTTGATTTGTGCATGTCTCATACCAATCATTAAAGGGTTAGTTCACCCAAAAATGAAAATTATGTCATTAATGACTCACCCTCATGTCGTTCCAAGCCCTTAAGACCTCCATTCATCTTCAGAACACAGTTTAAGATATTTTAGATTTATTCCGAGAGCTTTCTGTCCTTCCATTGAAAATGTATGTACGATATACTGTCCTTGTCCAGAAAGGAAATAAAGACATTATTAAAGTAGTCCATGTGAAGACAGTGGGTTAGTTTAAATGTTTTGAAGCATCGAAAATACATTTTGGTCCAAAAATTACAAAAACTACGACTTTATTCAGCATTATTGTCTTATATTAGTGCATGAAGTAAAATGCAGTATAAAAATCATAATGCAATTTTCAAAATAACTTTGTCAAATTATTTTTAGTTAAATGAGTATGTTTTTACAATAAAAAAATAAAATATAATTTTCTTCTAAAATGATAATTTTTATCAAGCTTGTATATTTAAGTTCAGTAATTTCACTTAAATGGCAATGAAGATTACCTATTAATTGTCATTTAAGTGAAATTACTGAACTTAAATATACAAGCTTGATAAAAATGACCATTCTAGAAGAAAATTTCAAATGGCATTTAGAGGCTTTTACATCTGAACTCTTCATATATATATATATATATTATTTTTTTTTTAATGTAATCTATTTCTGTGATGGCAAAGCTTTAAGCTTTATTTTCAGCAGCCAGTCTTTGATGAATACAGAATAAAAAGAAAAGCAATTCTTTGAGAAATCTTTAAGAAATAAAGTCTTTTGTAACAATGTAAATGTATAAATTAAAGTATCAAATAAGTGATCCCAAAAGTTTAAATGGTAGTGTTTCTTTGATAAAATATTTTAATTCATGAAAGGTTTTATTTTGTATTTTCTTTTGGCAAAAAAAAACAAAAAAAAAAACACACACATTAAGTTGTTAGAATGAAAACAGCAGTATGAAATATATGTTGTTAAGCAAGATATTAATGGACTCTTTCTCATTGTCTCTGCATCTCTCTCTGTTTGCTTCTACAGGTCCTACTGGTGTTGGTTTAAATGAGCTCAAAAGAAAGTTGTTGATATCCGATCCACAACATTTTAGTGTCACCATCCCACGTAAGTGCTTCCTTGTGTGTGTGTGTGTGTGTGTGTGAGCGACAAAGAATAAGACAGTACTTTTTTTTCTTGTACCCATTTATGCACTCTTTCTTTGGATACAGTATTGTCACCTCATCAGTCTGTCATTGATAACAACTCTACTTGACACACTTCCCTGTCCTTAGCAGCAGTGTCCATGATTGCCACTCCTCTTTCCTCTCTTCAGCATCCAGAAACATCATTCCAGGGAAATACACCAGACAAGTTATTTTTAGGACAAATAAATAGGGCTGTGACTTATGTATTTAAACAGACGGACACTGTGGATAAATTGCAAATTTAGAGGCAGTAAAGCGAGAGACTGAGCTTGAGAGTTTGAGGGAGTTGGAGACAGTGGCTAGAAAAGCCTTGACTGTTGATATAACAGATGTTTGTTACATTCAAGCTTGGCTTTAATAAGAATGTCTGATTCAGGCTCTGACACTATGAAATGCCACTGGTATTAATTTCTCATCCAAAGCTTTTTGCCGTAATGCTGCCTAATTGCTCACAAATGTGACCCTGCATTAGTCTGTATTATATAGCCCTCCTCCCCTCAGACCTTTCGGAGGATTAACATTAAAGGGATGGATTCTTGGAAAGTGACTGTTTTAAAAGTGCTTTTTGGTCATCTTTGCCCTTTCTTTTTTTTTTTTTCCAATCCTGCCAGCTCCAACTCTCATTGTTAATATGAGTGATTAACCATTTAAATATATTTCAATTTAATTTCTCTAAAGAAGGCCCAACATGAGCTATTGCTTCTTATATCCATCAATTGGGTCTTTTAAAACACAAACCAGCCATGGCAGCAATACTAGCAAGATTGTAGAATACGATTAGTTGGGAGCACTTGAACATTTTGTCTCCTCTCCAGCCTTTACTGCTATTTTCCATGATCTTAGAATGAAATTCAAATTCTTTTGCCACACCAAAAACATTTCCTATGCCACAGAGCTAATGCCAGATGAAATATATTCTATTTCTTTCAGCAGTAATAGGGGAGTGACTTTTTCTTTTTTTGTTTTGTGAACACCAGCATTTGGGGGTGTAATAACATGTTATCTTATGTCTGCGGTGGGCTGTCATCATGGGAGGGTGATGCCTCTTTATCAAATGTGTGATGGGTTGAGGGTAACTAATAATTTACTCCAATCCCACCCAACCCATACATTTCCCCTCATCTCTCTCTGTCTTTATCTACAGTACATGATTCTTGTAAGAATCTGATTTGGTGCTCAAGAAACATTTCTCATCACAGATGAAAACAGCTGTGCTTAATATTTGTGTGGAAGCTGTGGTGCCTTTTTTTGGATTCTTTAATAATTAGAAAGTTCAACGGAACAGTATTTGATTAAAACAGAAATCTTTTGTGATAATATAAATGTCTTTACTGTCACGTTTGTATGAAAGTATGCATAAAAAAAATACGGGAAAATTACCAATACATGACAAATAGATTCAAGAGGGGCCTTGAAAAAGCAGAAGGAAAAAAGCAGAGGAAGAAAAAACCTGGAACAAGGCGAGTTGGAACGGTGATAAAGTTTAATAGTTTGTTTTGGAGCTGCTGGCGGCTTGCAGACTATTTGTCGGAGGTGTGTTCTACAGCGACCTTTGACCTCCCCGACACTCGTTAAACACACCGCTGTGTGTCTCTGCATGGCAAACTTTGACCCTGGCTGTACCCGCCGGAGCCGTGCTGGCTGGACTGGCACGCGCCGTGTGATTTAAAGACAGGAGTTTATAAGCAGCTGAAAGCAGGAGCGGGGCTTAATGAGGGACAGAGTAAACTCGCTGCTGGTACTGTACCATGTGCTCCTGGGGCTTTACGAGCAGCGTTACACTCACACTGGCCTTAGAAGCCTCGTGGTGAGTTGAGCCAAGACAGACGGGGTGGGTGTGGCGTCAGACCTTGGAGAGGTGGTTTATTTTAAATAAAATTAAGTGGGAAATAAAGTGTCCATGGGGAACTCCCTTTAATCAAGGAAATGTCTGTAATGAACGTTTCTTCACATGTTCTTCTTGAAGCACCTTCAACCTCTAAATTTCTTCATAGTGATCTAAGAAACACTGCTGGGTGTTTTTTTTCTAGTATTTTCAAGTATCTAATGCCGTTTAGGGCTGTGTAAAAATTACGTTTTTCCCAATGAATCGCAATCTTCATTTGAAAGATCCCAACTCCATTGTTAAAATTTTGTGATTGAGCTTTATCGATCATTTTTTAGTGGCTGTGTGAAAATGTATCCCTAAAGCACTTCCTGTCTAAAGCGCTTTTCTCGGCTCCATAGTTTGGGCCTTGTCCATTTTTTTAAAATAAATATGATCATAATGTACTGTACCAAGTTAGAAGGTTGTCCTCATCCTTGTGAGCTGCGTGTAGAACATCCTGTACAATGTGACCAGTGTAATTCGATTTGATAACAATTTAGAAATTTTGCCAATTCTTTTAATTTTTTTTTTTTTTTACTGTTCTGACTCAAAAGCTTGTGATTCATGAATTCTGATTGCTCAGATTTCCAGCCCTAATACAATTACATTTATGTTAAAATGAGAGTTTAAAATGCTAAAACTGTACTAGATCTCTTGTTCTCCACTCATGTAGGTGTGCTATATAGGTTTGAGTTTTGTAAAGGCTGGAATACACTACACAGCTTTCTTCCTATTAACTGTCTGGATGAGTTGACGCTTTTTGTGTTCACACCCAAGCGATTTTCGCTGACGATGAGCCGAGTGAACTTGCAAATTCATTCACTAACATTAGATGGCGCTTAATGTAAAACAGAAATGCATCTTGGCCATAGATATCTTGCCTTGCATCTTCCTCATCTTCCGTCAGTGTAGACGGTGGCGTATATCTCTCTTAGACCCTTCAAGACCGTTTTGTGTTTGAGAGGGCCCCCAAGTTGTGTTTTACTGTAACTTCAGAAGCACCAGACATGTGAGCAAAAGCGCCAATCTCATTGGTCAGATAGTTTTTGACACGGCATGTCAAACCAAAAAAATTAACCCGAGGCGTTTTTTTTTTTTTTTTTTTTAAATGACGCTTTTACGCATGCCTTTTTTCGTTTCGGTGTGCACACTCACATTGGCGCCCTTTGTTTAGTCACGAGACGTTAAACGTTGGCGAATATCGCACCGAAATTCGTCCCGGTGTGAACAAGCCTCCAGACTATGATTTTATCTAGTTCGAGTATAGCAAATACGTTTGATATTTTGAGCCGGTTTTAGAACACAATGTCTTCATTTGTAATGTGTGTCCTTCAGATTTATAAAGTCATGTAGTCTATTTCAGCCTTAAGTGTGAAACAACACAAAACCAAGTGAGATCCCAAAATCTCTGTACCCAATTTAAGATTTCAAATGATTTAAGTTAACGGGTGTCATTTCCCAATGTAAAAGTACTTTCTCTTCACTACACCTTATCTTTCACAGACACCTCTCGATCGAAGAGACATCAGGAAAACGATGGGGTGGAGTATCATTTTATCTCCAAACACCTTTTTGAGGCAGACATTCAGAACAACAAGTAAGGCACACAATCTTTTTTCTTTTTTTTTTTGGTTGGATCGAAACACAACTGTGTATTATTTGGAATGAGCATATGAATATTTCTGCTGTGATTTGGATTGGGGATGTAAAAGTTTACCGTGGAGATCAAATAGTCAGTATTAATCATTGAAGTTTAGTGGACCGCTTCCTTTATTCTCAGGATTGTAATCATGTCAACCGTAACCCTGACACAAACGCTCAACAGTGGGAGAGATATAAATCGGAGAGACGGAGCCTCCGTGGCCAGTTAGTATTCAACACATCATCCAGAGCCCTGACTGAACTTAAGTAAATCAGCACCCCAGTCAAAACACTATGCAACAGTTTTCACTGATGTCGTCTGTCTCAGACGCTATGGCAAACATTCACCACTTTTGCCTTTCGGCTGCCCACTATTCTTTTCATTTTTCCACTCCATTTCCTTCGAGCAAATTGTGTATGCGTGTGTGTGCTGCTTGTGTAGCAGCATGATGTGGGCTCAGATCCCTTCTCTGTAAGCGAGAGTGAGAGGGTGTTGACAGGTGGTCTGTTTCTGTGAGTGCGCACGAGAGAGGGGGGATCAGACTCCTTTTTCCCAGTGGTTGGTAAGCTCAGAATTGTATGCATGGCCCGGTGATGGATGTTTTTCTGCAGCCTCTCATCAGAGGATAAAACAACACAACAGGAACGCATATAGAATGTCACTTCGCCAGCAAACCGGGCGTCTTAACTGTCTTGTGGTGGAAAACAGTATGTGGTGGCTTGTTCTGTGGTAAAATGAACATCAGCATGACTAAACCACAATTATCAATTTTGAGAACGAGCAGGAGCAAGCAGGTGGGCACGAGGCACTGCAAGAGGGCTTGAAAGATGAATCTTTCCTATTTTGTCAGCATTTTCTCTTCTTTTCCTTTTTTGGTACTTGGTCTAGTTTGACTTTGAATTGACATGTTGCTCTTTTTTCTTCATCTTTTTTGTTTGGATCTATTATGTAAAGGAAATCAAATTTGCCCTGATCGTAATAGGTCTTTGTACCAAGGCATTGTGCAAGTTTCATAGTTTAAAATGTCCTCCTCTATGAAAATACAACAGATCAGAATTAGCCTGTATGGCTAAATCTGGCACATTCACATGATTGAGTGCTTGTGTTAATTAATCTGCATTGTCCAATTTAAAATAAAAATTAAATAAACAATAAAATAATTATACATCATCGCACTATAGGACCCTCCCACTGACATTTAGTTACTTAATAGCTGACATTTACCTACACTGGATGTGAGCATTACATTGTGTCAAAAGCAAATACTCATTATAATCACTGACGCTGTCTAGACTGGATACAGTACACAGATGCATGCTCAGTTTCTGACATACTCCAAGCACTTGAGTCTGTCGACAGACCTTTTACTGACCAGCCTTAAAAGAGCCGCCCCTTAAACACGAGTCATTTCAGACAGAGAGTCTAAATGAAGGCTGAAAATGTTTGTTTTTAAAAAGGAACATTAAAATAAAATGTCATTACCCCTTTAAAAATACTTAAGACATACATACAATGATTTTCTTTTAAAATTAATTTTGAGCTTTTTTATATCATAAGAAAAAAATTGGCAACATTTTGTTAAATGTTCTGTTGTGTGAAAATTTAAAACCTTACCTTAAAATATAAAAAAAAAATTGATGGTATTAAGATGTGTTGAGAATTCTGGAAAAATATTGTTTTATGTAAATTTATTATTATCATGTTTAATATTTTAGCTTTTCTTTAAAATGGTTTGAACGATTTTGAAAACATTATAAAGCCAACACATATATGTTATGAAAGACCATGTGAAACCAACAAAAAAATGCTGTTATATGTTAGTTACACATGACAATTTTAAAGTCATATAATTTTAACTTTTCCTGAAAATGGTTTAATTGAATTTAAATTTAATTTAATTGTTTAAATGGTTTATTCAGCCTTCCAGTGGGAAAATGTACACTCTCATATGCAAACATGAACTTGGTATTCCCAAGGAAAACCCTGCTCAGGGCTAAAAGCAGAGCCTAAATGAACCCAAAAACCCCAGAAGAAGCCTCCACCCCACCATCAATACACGCACATCATGACAACAAACGCCACAACACAACAGTTCTGTTTAAGTACATCTGCCTTCAAATGAACACTCAAATAAATAGGCACTTTGAGAATTCTTGGTAACCCTACATGTCACATTAACACCAGCAAACCACCTCTTAGCACCCAACAAAATTCATTTAGCTCACCATCAAAAAATACGGCTTCAATGAAAGAGAGTACAGGCTTTTAAAACACGCTGAGTCGAAAAGTGGCAAGGAGTCACGTTAGCTTCTAAATCTGATCACCCAATCACAGGTTGCTGTTAGACCACGTGCTGAAAAGTGTGAGCGCGTTTATAGCTTTCACTTCAAAGACTTGTTGACATTTGAATTGATACTTGGGGAAAGATAAAGACAGCTGTACATACAGTATATAGAACATTTTACCTGTTTCAGAAGTGGTAATTTTAGTCACGTGTCGCAAATTTTCACTGTGCACGAAATATTACGACACCCTGCTGTTGTAAGACTCAGTCGTTCTTCTGGAAAACTTTCCACATCCTTCCAAATTTCTCTGCTTTACGGTTGTCCTAGAAATACATGGCGTTGTTCTGTGATCAGAGAATAGAAGTAATTGGATTGAACGACAGGCAGATTAAATGGTGGAAAAGTGTTTGTTTACCTTTGTCTTCTCAGAAAGTAAAGTAACTCTTGCATTTGGCATTCAAGCCTGCCTGTGCTGCAAGGAAACAGGTGTTTTAGATTTAAACTGTAACATAGAAGATTATTTAAAAGAGCCTTGTGTCAGACTGTCTGGAATCGCCATGTCAGGAAGAATGCAAGAGATGAACACACCGTGCATGTCTGAGTGGCCTTTTTCACTGAAAGCATCATGACAGGCTTGGGAGTAAATAATGGGTTGTGTTTCCTGTCATTATCCTGTCCATTGGCTTTTCTTTATATTATAGGGTGGGTAGATTCACATAGAAACATTTAGAGCCATTAATCATTGTGTCAAACCCATCCTGTTCTTTTTGTCATTTTCTATGCCACAGGTTTATTGAACAAGGAGAGTATAAGGGAAATTACTATGGGACGAGCTTCGACTCTGTGCGTTCAGTCCTGTCTAAGAACAAGGTGTGCCTTCTTGACGTACAGCCACATGTGAGTCTCTCTGTTTCTCAGATACACATTGTACCTTACCGTTTTACCTCCCTCTGCGTCACTCCATTCCTCAGTCTCTTTTCCAGATTTATTTTCCCCCCTTTCACAGGTGTGACATTCCACACTATTCCTACTGGATCTTTTCTGAGATCTCTCTCTCTCTCTCTCTCTCTCTCTCTATCTCTCTTTCTCTCTCTTTTTCTAACATTGTCTCTACTAATTGTCCCATGTTTGAAAATGTCCTCAGGTTTAGGTGAGAGAGTAGTAGTTAAAAGAGGAACAGTTGAGTCTTGGCAGAACTGTATCAGTGTCCACAGCAAAGCCAGTGAAAGACCCCTGTCAGCTCTGTCTCATACATCAGGCTTTGGTGGTCTGAGCCTGTCTTCTCTCTTGGAGTAGTGAGAGAAAATGAGGCAATGGAGTGTTTGTTCCAATGCAAACTATATCAAAATAATGAATCCTTAACTTTGAAATATGTATGATAAAATGTATTGGCCTACTTTAAAAATATAACCTATTTGAACAGGATTTGTTTCCAGGTATGACTAAAAATGTGCTTTTGACTTTGGGCTCACACCTCCCGCCACTATATACACAGTGTGTGTGTGTGTGTGTGTGTGTATAGACCTTGCATTCTTTCTTGTTGACACACCTGATCGAAAGGTTCATTATTATGCGGGTCTTTGTCTTCTCAGGTGAGAACCACCTAATTATGTTATCTATTGTTTTATGTGAATGATTAGGCAGGAAGATTTTCAAATTTTGAAGCAAAAACTCTAGTCGAACAACATCCATTAGTCAAAAGTCTTATTTAGTATGTTAGCATGTTGCTCACATATTATGGTAGCCATGTTTGTGCTAAATAGAGTGTAATCACACATTTGCCATTAATATGTTTGTAAGCAACTGAAAAGAGCACCAATGTCAGGGCATGTCAAAACATCTCAAGGACCCCAAAAACACCTTAGACCCCAAAGGGACCCCCATATTTAGTTGGTTTGCATCTCAAGTAAATGTATCTTGATTTAAGTATCTTTAGACTCTTTCACTGGGAAATATGACGCAATTACTGAGGAAGAACATCACCTTGTTTTAGTGCAGTAAAAGTCCAGTGGGAGAAAAGGCATTCAAGCTATTTTATTTATTTCTTTTGTAAAAGGAATTAAAAAGCAACTGATCTGTTCTAAGCAAACTCTCAAGTGCTGCTAATACAGCTCATTGTGCTTCTCCCTAGATATTTACAGTACATTCAAACAACACATTGCTGTATTGTGTTCCCTTTGACTTATGCCTTACATTTTCTTTGCTTGCTTTTAAGATGGTCTTAAAGTCTTACATTTACCTTCATAAAATCTGCAGAAACAGGACAAATCCTTGTCCTCTGGTAATTGTCTTCCCGTATCTCGTCTCTTTATTGATTTATATTTCATTCACCTGTGTATCACCAAGGAAGTCTGTAATACCAGAAGAGCGCTGTATCTGTTAGCATTCCCATTAATCTCAATAGTGCCTACACTGTCAATTGAGAAAGATGCTTTTTTTAAAAATAAAAATAATAAATGAAATTATAAAAATCAAAGTCAAGATGTCCAAACCCTTATGCTGTTATTTAAGCCCACAAAAGACAAAAGGATAAATAAATAAATGTGCATGCTCCTGTACAGCAACATTTCAAGGTGAAAAGGTTAAAAGTCCATTTTAAACGTGATTTAGCGAAATTGTAAATAATGAATTTAGTCTATGCAGTTTGTACACTATATTCCATTATATTCTTATGAAGCCATATGATAGCTTTCTACGAAGAAGAGACTGAAATTTAAGTTATTATTCACTGGTACTCTATCTCAAGAATATCTCTCCATTTTGACATTTGTAAGATGGACCCATAAAATCTACAATTCAAAGCAATCAACTCCAAATCAACCAAAGAATACTTTATTTTACATAACAAAGAATAGTTATGCATATACCAAATTCTTTTTTTCCAGGTTGAAATGTGAAACTATAGCAATACACTTAAATAGAACAAAAAATCTAATATTAAAATATGCTGCATCATATAGCTTCAAAAAAGGCCTTGTCTGCTTTCATTTGAAACAATATGAACGTGAGTGTATGATGTCGACATTTTAATCAAATTTTCCTTTTAAATGTACTGTGGCGGCAACAGCCTGTTTAATTCTAGGCCTAGAAAGAGGGAGGACAATTATGGTGAAAAACTAGCTTATGGTAAAACTTGAAAAATCTAGTGATTCATTTAGTCAGCTGAAAAACACCTCCACAGAAATACGTGGTGAAGTTCAGTGGTCTGAGTAGTGGATCTCAACTACCTGAAGTGTAATGTGTCAGACTGGGATGCTTTATTTTCACTCATGGAGTCAGATCAGTTGAGCTCAGTGTGAATCAGCTGCTCTGTTTTCTGTCAAAATGTAACAGTGACTAACAGCAATAATGTTCAGAAGTATCAGTGTCAAACTAAATCATGATGGCATGAGTGATGCTGCTTTAATGACTGCGGTTCACATGCTCTCTTTATCTTTCTCCCTTTTTTTGACATTCTCTCTCCATCAGACGCTAAAACATCTTCGCACGGCCGAGTTTAAGCCCTACGTGGTGTTTGTGAAGCCTCCATCCATCGAGCGCTTGAGAGAGACCAGGAGGAACGCAAAAGTCATCTCAGGCAAAGAAGATAAGAACTCATCCAAACCCTTTACGGTAATACATGCCACACACAGTTTTAACTTCAATCTGTCCGTCTAACATCCTCTCTCATCCTGAAGGGATCTCTTTGTCGTTTTAGGTTGCATTCACAGTTTTTGTTCCACTATCTCACATAGTTCTTGGTGAAATAAGAAATAGATTTCATCTCTCCCTGGCAGACAACATACACATCATTTATTATAGTCATTTTCCTCTTGGACCAAGCAAACATATTTTGAGTTAGTGCTTAAACGTGTGTGTGTGTATTTTTGAGTAACCGGTCCCCTGAGCGGTAATCTGATATGAGACACGTGAGCTCACACAACACCTGTATGACTGCACTCAAAGAAAAACACATGAAATCAATTAACCCGGACAACAGACTCTTACCTTTTGCTGCCGTTAGTTGTGCTGTGTGTGTGAGGGATATGGTGTGAATATGCGGGGTATCTAATGACTTTCCCAGAGTTCAGCTCTTGCCTATGTATCTCGCTGTTAGTCTGCACCAGGAACAAGCACGCGTGCTATAGAATAAGTGACCCCGGAAACTCGACTCCACCACACGCCGAGATGGCTTGATGTCGATTGTCACCACAGAGACGTTCCGTGTTGAAAACTGTCAGATTCGTTTAGGAGCTCTGAACATGTGCTCACCTGTCAACCCATTGACTCAACAAATGTCCAAACGCAACACATTCTTTTTTTCATCTTTTGCACCATGCAGATCAGGAATGGTAGCTAATTTTGCACACAAATTCCCTGTTGATTCAACTGAATGCTAGTTTTCACACAGCAGCTTTGGTCTGTTTATCCATTATGATTTCATAAAGCAACTGCCAAAATATAAATGATTTCTGACACACACACACACAACATGTTGCCGATGTACTGTAGCTCAACAACTGACATTGAGGAGTGCATCTGCATATTTATACTTTTTACTCAGTCTAATTTGCAGGGGTTGGACGGTTGGATGTTCACATTTGGGTACACTTTACAAAAACACAATGCTCTTTCAAGAGCAACACAAAAAAATCTCTGTCCACTTTTCATTGGCCACATTCCCACTGTTTTTGATTGAACATTAATGACTAAAATAATGGATTTCTATTGTGATTTACTGAAGTAATATAAAAAATCAGTCACTACTGTAGCTTCTAACAGTCTTTTCTTAAAGGGATACTCCACTTTTTTTGGAAATAGGCTCATTTTACAACTCCCCCAAAGTTAAACGGTTGGGTTTTACCGTTTTCGATTGTATTCAGCCGATTTTCTGATATTTAGAATAATATCCGTAACCAGATGGTTTCTGGTTTCATTGACTATGGAAGTCAATGAGACCAGAAAGCATCTGGTTACGGATATTCTTCTAAATATCAGAAAATCGGATGAATGCATTCAAAAACGGTAAAACTCAACTGTTTAACTTTGGGGGAGTTGTAAAATGAGCCTATTTCCAAAAAAAAGTGGAGTATCCCTTTAAATGTTTCTTGTTTTTAACAAGTAAACCATCACTTTTTTTGTTGTTTTGCTGGAAAATATATGCACTGCTTGTTTGAATGATGAAGCACGGCACTATAAATTTACACAAGTGCAGCTCAGTCAAGCTGCTCTGAGATGCTAAAACTCTGTATCATGACCAGTATTTATGTAAATGATTAGTGCAGAGCTTCACTCTGAAACCAGCAGTGCACTTATTTAATTAGTTTAATCGCAGCCTTCACGATTTGACTCCTCTATTAAGCAAAATAGCAATATCAATTTTATTGTAATATATCTTCCAGCCCATATGCAGGCTCCACAAATTTATACTAGCAGCATATTTCATTATTTTTATTTCAACACCTTTGAAACTGAGTAGATGCTAGTCACATTAATTCAAACCGCTGAATGTGCGATTAGACCACACCATACTCCCCAAAGTTTTAAATTCGCAGAGAACTCAAGGATTATGCCGTTGTCAAAGGGAATGCTGCTCTGGCTATCTCTGTTGTCAGAGGAACTGTACCAAAAGCTGTCCACACCATCCAAAGCAACTGTCTGCCTGCTTTCAACAGGTCGTTGTGGGTACAAGTGAAGGGAAAAGAAACCCTTGCTAGCTGGCAAAACGTAGTAAAAGTCGATTATAGACCCTGACAGTGTTAAAGGCATCCAGATTCAGCCTATTATAGATATGCAAGAAAAATCGTGTTTGATGAAATGTCACAGATATATTTTATCCAGGACTTTGCTGTATTTCTTTCTCAGAGAGAGACACTGCATCTGTTAGAGTCATGAGCTTCAGAGCCGTCGGCTCTGTGCAAGAAAACAGGCATCTCTTTGTTTCTGTGAATCCAGACTTTCACTCTATTGTTCTCCCTTTTAGTAATACTTGTATAACATTAACAGTTTTCTATGTGTAAAAGATCAAGATATAATACATTCTCTTTTTAGGAGTAGCAAAAAAAAAATGGAAATTTCCTAAAAATGTCATCAGAGGTAGAAGGGCAGCGTTTCATCATCTGGCATTAAATCATCGTAATGAGGAATGGAAACATAAGCTAAAATTTGATGATTTCTGTTCTCTATTTTTTGTCCTGCGCTTGGTGAAAGTCAGTCCAGTCCACGGATTAAGTCCCTTTACTTTGGGAATATAAAATCAAGGACCTCTTGACGACCCAGAGATTTCCTTTTTTGAACGGGTTTAATGGTAAGGGCAGGTGCACTTTATATGATCCAATAAAAATTGATTTTCCGGCAGGGATTGAGAGATAAGGAGAGCTCATGCTGACTGTAGAGAGAGAGAGAGAGAGAGAGAGAGAGAGAGAGAGAGAGAGAGAGAGAGAGACGGCTTAGTAATGAAGAAATGCTCCTTTTTTCGAAGACGGAAGACCTGGATGTTGAGTGAGAGGTTGCATTAGAGCCTCTGGGAAATAAACAATCGGAAAGAAATGCAGAGGAAAAATAGATTTAAACCCTTTTGTGTTATTACCAAATCAGATTTGGTAATTATAGCACTCCCCTGGAGGCAAAACATCTGTTATACTTCAATTAGCATGAGGTTTTTATTTGATGACAGAATGAAGAAAAGATATGTTCAGACCTTGGGCCAAACCTTTGACTATTTAGGCCAAACACAAGCTAATCCACCACGTTCAACCAGAGCTTTATTAAAGCCATGACTAAGTCAATGAACTGCGACTTTTGATGCGTCCTGCCAATAACTGTCAGATTGAGAGACTGCTGTAATTTCCAGAATGCCAGCAGCTCTGTGTCCAAACTGAAATGTTGACTAAATCTTAACTCTTGATCAAGAGAGAAAATCAGGGAAGAGATGGAAATGGTTCATCAAAGAATGGGAGGAGAAGTTGAGTCTAACACTGGCCATATGCCACGGCTTCGCTTAGCTTGCTGTTGTTTTGTCTGCTAATGCCAATTTCCAAATTTACACTGTGCTTAATAGATTCTTAGTACATTTTAAAACAAAACCTGGCCAAAAGCTTCTGATTTTCTTTTAGCATGGCAATATGTTTTATTATAGCATCATATCGCTCTGTGTGGGACATAGGGATCCTATGTTTTTATGTTGTAAAAGTTGAGTCTATATTGGTAAAGCCACTCAAACCATGCCATGTTCTCGGAGACTGGCACCAAATGCCAAGATTGCCCACAGAAACACTTAATTAGGACCCACAAGCCCAAAAAAAGTCCAAGGCCATGTTAGAGTGTCCAGAGATAACTAGTCTATGAGACGCAATGTCATGAAAAAGTACTTGGCGGTTGGGTGGTGAATGTGTTTTTTTGGTATAAAATATATCAGATTTTAGCCTATTGTTTTTTTGTTTCGTTTTTTTACAGTTTTTCAGTGATTTCAGTTTCTTTTAAACAAGGCAAATATTTAATGAATAATGATTGTTGATCATTTTATGGTTATTTTAAGCATCGATGCCAGGGTATAAAATTGAGGTCTGTTTATTCCTTCCGCTGTTCCTGTGATCATAACCGCTGGAGATCCGGACCTCAAACTATAACCCTAACTGTGCACCACCTCAGTAGAAAATTAAATATCAGTTTAGTTTTATCTTTTATCACATGTAGATATTTTTGCATTTCTGCATCTAAAGCAGTTTTATTGTAAACAAAAAAGAATAGTTTTTAATTAAGTCGACGTTTAGGGCATCTATGAAAGTTCTTTTTGGAAGCTGGTTTTGGGAATACTGTGGGAAAGTGTGTTATGGACTTTTTTGGGGGCATATTTCATGCCTTTAAAAAGAATTTTGACTGAATGTGTTTGTTGTTTAGGATGAGGACTTCCAGGAGATGATCAGTGCCTCTCGGATGATGGAAAACCAGTATGGTCACCTCTTTGATAAGGTCATTGTGAACGATGACCTCACTGTTGCCTTCAGCGAGCTCAAGCAGGCGCTCAGGAAAGTGGAGACAGAAACTCACTGGGTGCCCATCAGCTGGACTCATTCCTGAGGGGCTGCACAAAAGACAACACAACATATTTTGGGGAGTGGAAACGAAGGGAAGGACTTTAAGAACTGTGAAAGATTTCTTTTTATTGTTTCTTTTTATTTTTTTGTCTGTAAATGGTGACAGGGGAAATATTTTAGTTGTCTTAACACTTCTGAAGAGGTTTATCTGTTCTTGGGGACTAAAGTGGAAGAGCATAGGTTTTCTTTTGTTTTGTCGTGGTGGATTTAGCTGAACGTGTCTGTAATTGTAGTCAGCAAAAGTCTGATTGTTTAGCAGCCGCTAAGAGTGTTTAAACTGCCAATCAAGTGGTCTGGTGGTGCTGACCACTCCTTGGTGTATTTTTAACATTAGTTTATAGAAACCAAATGGATGATTATTATTTTTCTGTGCTCACATTTTATTTTTATTTTTTCAGATCTTAGCACATTGCACTCCATTTGCCTGTTACTCTGCAGCTAGTTTGATCAGCACATAATTAACTATATATATATATATATATACATATATATATAGGCAAGATATCATGTAATGTTCAGTGGGCCCCAAAGAGATTTTATTTAAAGAGAAAATTAATATATTTGGATATTTTTTTGGACTTTTTTTAGCCTGTTCCCTGATGAGATTTTTTTAAATAATATCGGTTGTTTTGGGGTTTTTTTTGTTAGTTATTTTGTCTTTTTTTAGTAAGTGCTCATGGCTAATTAAAGCCTCTGTGTTTTATTAATGTATAACCCGCTGTGTGCAGAAGCTGACTTCTTTATTTCAGTTTCATCTCTCTCTTTCTTTATTTCCTTAATTTCAGTTACATCACTCGCTGTCTTTATTTTCCTTTTCCTTCCATCTCCATCCTGTTGTTGAGGGCAGGCACTTGGAAAACACATAGGGAATGTACTCCATCTAGGCAGATTTGGCAAGACTCTGAAGAGTGTTTAAGGAGTCTAATGGCAGCACTACTATTGAATCTCAGAGAAAAATATGTTTAATGATAACCTCAACTGTTACAAGGCATTTCAGACAGCAATAGTTCACCCAAAAATGAAAATACTGTTTTACTGTATAGGTTCAGAGGACTTTGAATATGGGACATGAGTCAAATAGACTTTGATGGTACTTTCTCATTTTTGGTGCTCAACAGTCCCATCCACCTTAAGTTGTGTGTTACTCAGAAGGAACGTTGTACGGATTTTGTAACAACTAGTGATGCACTGAATTTTTGACAACTGAAAATGTAAAACAAAAAATTAGGTTCCAACCAAAAGATTTTTGATTGAAACAATGTTTAGTGTTTCTTGGATGATGCAATTAGACTATTGGTGTCTATTTCATGCACACAATGTGGATAGGCTAGCAGTGTGGACACACTTCACCGTGAGAAAGAAGGTTGCTAAAGTAGCAGTTGGTCAAATTTGTTTAATGTTGAACAATGTCTCATTGCTGTAAAGGATGGTTCACTCATAAATGCTAACTCATCGATTACTCGGCCTCAAGTTGTATGAATTTCTTTCTTCTGTTGAAGTTGAACACAAAAGATATTTAAAAGAACCCCAGTAACCAAACAGTTGATGGGTCCCATAAACTGTTTGGTTACTGACATTCTTCAAAATATCTTCTTTGTGTTCATCAGAAGGACAAAATTCATATCATTTGAGGCTGAGTAAATGACGACAGAGTGAACTATCCCTTAAAGAGCTGTTCTTTGACTGGTTTAATTTATCATCTGAGGACACACAGATTTAATTTAATTTTCCAAATTTTGTTTTGGTTTTCATCTAAATGAAAACCTAAATTTCAGTTCATCACTAGTAACAACATGAGTCTGAGTAAGTGATGACAAAGTTGTCATTTATTGGGTGAACAATCCCTTTAATGTCTGAAAAGGCCTTACATAAAAACATGCCACTAAATACATGTATATTTTTGTTGTCATTTTGTTCTTAATCAGTTTTGTCGTCTTTTAGCTCATTGGATTTGCAATCAAGCAGTGTCAATCTCTTCTGAACTATTACTGTGTTTAGGACAGTCCCCATACTGTAAATACACTGTAGTTTTGCCTTCAAAATCAAGGTGCACTAAAGTTTGTTCATTTAAACTCACTATGTTTGTCCGTACCTCATTTTTTCTTTTTTCCCCCCATACTTGCCTATACAAAACCGCTTCAAAACTTTTGTCAAGCTTTGAAGTCTTACTTAATATCAAATATGCAATGTGAATATTGTTTCCTGTATTTTTAGTAATGTACCTCTATATATTGATCTGTCCTCTGCCAAGTGGATGATTTTTGTGGAAGCCTCATCTAAACAACAATTCATGTATATCTATTGTTTTGTTCTGTCGATGATCAAGAGTTTACAACCTGTGCTGTTATAAAACATCCCCTCCTCCAGTACATTAAATATGTAAATCATCTATGTTCTCTTTCCTTTTTTTCATGAAGAGTGGGAGTGTTTTTGTTCCTAGTTCTGTAATTAATAACCAATGTTTCCTTTAATAGTTAATTCATGTCAGTATTCACAGGTCTTCAGACACACAGGGCCAGTGGGACAGACTCATCGCTCAGGCTTTGCTCGCTACAGAGATCTCACTGTCTGATGAAATGCCAAAAGAAACCAGCAGCCAACACAATGACCCATAATCCTCCAGCTCCCCCTCCATCACACAGTCCTGCCGCCGCTGCTCAGAGCTGATAGTGAGGAGATTGAAAAGGATGGATGACCTAAGACAGGAAGATGGATAGGATTTGAGTGTAGCTGGCCAGGAAGAGGTAACAATGTTTTCTGAATGCCAAATATATCTTGTATATCTTGTTTTTTTTGGTCTATACAATGGAAGTCAATTGTCACCAAAACTGGTTACCAATATTTCTCAGAATATCTTCTTTTGAGTTCAACAGAAGAAAGTCAGTCATGCAGGTTTGGAATTGCATGAGGGTAAGTAAATGACAGAATTTTCACTTGAAATTTCACTATTCTTCTAACATAACTCTATCATATGACTTTAAGAAGAGTTGCACAAGTCATTTAGACCACTTTTATGATACTTTTGTTGTGCTTTCATGTCCTTTTGAAGTATAACATATTCAGTGCCCATTTATTTTTAATTTAAAAAAAGACCAATACATTTTTCAAAATATATCCCCATGTTTTCCATATATATATATATATATATATATATATATATATATATATTAGGGCTGTCAAACGATTAATTGCGATTAATCGCATCCAAAATAAAAGTTTGTGTTTACATAATATATGTGGGTGCACTGTGTATAATTATTTTGTGTGTATATATATATATATATATATATATACACACATGCATGTATATTTAAGAAAAAAAATATATATAAAATATTTATATTTACATATCATATAAATTATATATAAATATATATACAGTATATACATGAAAATATTTCTTAAATATAAAAGCATGTGTGTGTATTTATATTTATATATATATATATATATATATATATAAAATAATTATACACAGTGCACCCATATATATTATGTAAACACAAACTTTTATTTTGGATGCGATTAATCGTTTGACAGCCCTAATATATATATATATATATATATATATATAATATATATATATATATATATCATACTGTATTGTTTGAAATGACAAGTATTAGTTCTTCCAACAACACTTTGTCAAGGGTTTTGTTTTCTAAATTATGACTAAAAGCAAGAACAAGAAAAAAGAAACAGGAGGAGAAAATGTCAGTTAAATCATTCATTAAATCAATCATTCATGTTTCCCTCATGTCTTTTTCCTTAAACTGACAAAGTGTTTCACATGACTGTTATATCTGGTAAAGCGTGGAAAAATTTAGATGTTGTAATACTGTTGTTGTAATAATGTGTTAGTGTGCAGAGGCCATTGTACAAGTACCAACCTCCTCTGATTACATCTGTGTCGCAACAGGCCTGTCAGAGAGCCAGTGCCACTTACAGTCACGATGGAGCTCAGCAGGTTTGGCAGGAGTAAAATGAGGAAATGAGAGAATGAGTCGTGCCGTTGGGGGAAAGACAGACCGTCTACTTTAAACTTAATCACCTCTGGTGCCGCCGCGCCTTAGCACTTGTCTGTCTGAGGCTGTGGCCATTGTGTTGAAAACGTTTTGATGCCTTCCTCACTTAGCACACCTCCTGATCTCTTTGAATCTGATCCTGGGGTAAAATGTCCAGCAGCCACTCTTAGTTTGTCTGTTCTCCCTTTTTCGTTTTTATAGGGATTCATTTAGTTACCTCCATTTTTGTTTGTTTTCTCCTTGTGTCAGAGGTTCTCAGGATTCTCTCAGAGTTCCCAGGGCTTTTGTCATGCTGCCACGCCTGGCTTTTCACTCTTAGTTAAACCGTGTGTGAACGGTGTGGATGAATGATGCTCTGTTTCATAATAATAAGGTTGTGTTGTATGTAAGCGAGACACTCTCAGGAGGGAGGAAAGAGTGTCTTAATGTCTGAAGGCCATGCACATTTCATGTCCATCAAGCAAATGTGTGACGTATTGTTTTTGAGAGAGACGCAGTGGCGTCAAGGTTTTTATTTTATTTTTTGTTTTTATATACACCAACAAAAGTCAAAAAAGTTCAAAAGTTTGGGGTCATTACAATTTTTTTATGTTAATGAATGAATATCTCTTTCTCCCCAAGGCTGCATTTATTTGATCAAAAATACAGTAAATATTGTGAAATTATTATTGCAATCACATGATCCTTCAGAAATTCTAATATGCTGATTTGGTGCACAAGAAACACTAATAACTTATTCAAAGCAGTGCCATGACAGGCTGTTGAAAACAAAGTTGAGTTTGTTTTCTTATGTTATAATACATGTATGATTAAAATACCTTTAAACCTGTATTAGTTTTTTGTTCTGTTGAACACAAAATATGATATTTTGAAGAATGTTGGTAACCGGCCATTTGACAGGAGCCATTGACAAATACTATAGAAGTCAATGGATATCGTCAGCAGTGTGGTTACAAACATTCTTCAAAATATCATATTTTGTGTTCAACAGAACAAAGAAACTACAGATTATATATTATAATTATAATTTTCCACAGCTCTTTTTTTGTCTTCTGATATTTTGCTTAAAGATAACAATCCAAAAACACATTAAATATCAGTAAAACCCACTGAAGAGATGTATGGCTATCCCTCACAGGCACTGCCTCGCTTTCATTCCCGTTTAAAATCAAAAGTTCTGCTGTGAGTAAGGCCTATGTGTAGCAATGCAAATATCTTTTTAGGAGTTTCATTCAAAATCCAATTTGCTCAAAAATCTGAGAGCGTATAACCCATCAGTTTAAACCAGCATGACGCTTCTGCTTTCCTGACTTTCCCAGCTCCTCGAGTATGAGGGTATCAGATGAAGAATCAGTGTTCACTATGTTTGACAAACCTTTTGTGTGTTTCTTTTATGTTTTCAGTGTTGCATCAGCCTAGTTGGTGTTCACCCGCGGACAGTCACAGGAAAGCGTGTAGTCAGCTTAGGTTTCTGCCACACTGTCATTAATCATCAGCCAGCCCCGGAGAGGAACACGACCATTAATGCTGACACATCTTCATTTGAATGTAAGGACCACGTTCTTCGTTTCACACAGTCAGTCTCTCCCCCTCTTGTTCTGTTCTTTCCCACCATGCCTCTCTTGCTGACAGTTTTACTCACTTAATGTCATTGAATAAGTCAATGACGTTAATTGAAAGATTATTTACATTATCTTTCTGTTCTCTGCCCTCTCAAGAGAATGAAATCATCTTATGCTTCTTTGAACCGCATCGTGACTCAATATATAAAGGTGGGGGAGTCAGAAGAGCATGGTTAAAATGAAAGCTGCTTTTTCCAGTCTGTTTTAAAGTAAATGGTAAATGGACTGCATTTATATAGAGCTTTCACAGACCCTATGGCCACCAAAGCACTTTACATATTGCCTCACATTCACCCATTTACTCACTCATTCAATTGGGAATTGAACCACCAACCCTCTGGTTTGTAGACAAACATGAACCACTGAGCCTCTGCCGCCCCATAATATTAGGGCAAAGCTCTTTTTAATATCGCACTTTATATGATGCGTACAGTATTAAACTGTGTAAATTGCAATAAAACAGCTCTCCAGTATGTTCATGTTTTTATTCGCGGACATCTAACCGTGACGGACTGAACAGAAAAAATTAACCAAATAAGATTTTCAAATCAAAGAAGGCGGAGCCTCCTAACCTACCTATTATGTAATCGGTGCAGACAAATGGTTGTTCGAAGGGTGTTTATCATAAGCTTTAGCAAGTTTTACTCCCGAAAATAATCTCCAAACGAATGTTGTTTTGGCCTGATTTTGTTTGAAATTACATCACACCAGTTTGTTCTTTGATTTTGCTGGAAGTGTCCACATTATTCTGCTCTAAACAATGCGCGCTGCCATGACGACGAATCCGGTTGCCAACTTCCGGTTCGAGTCTGGTCTCTGCCTTTTTGAAATGTGTTTCGGATTGTGTCATCCCCACATCGCTAAACTAAATCGAAAAAAAAAAAACATTCATCAAATGTGATCTGATCACGTTATTTTTTATTAAATCACAGATAAAAACAAAATGAATGTTTTTCTTTTCTTTATAGCTTCCAAAGGATAGCTTATGCATGACTGCACAATCTCCCTAATTCAGCAATACATGAACATCCGACAGTTTCTATCACCCCGACTGCTGCAGAATAACAGTATAAGGTTAGGCTGGTTTGCCCTTTGACGAACATCTACCTCTGCTTTCAAAGATGCGTATAGTACTATATATTTCTCAGGCCTGTGAGGAGAGTAGGCTACATTATATGCCGAGTTTCATTCATTTATGAGACCAAAGTCTAGTTTGCGCTCTGTCGCCTCAGTCATGATCATCTATTGTTTATACTTCTTATTTATTAAAACCAGGCAATTGGTTGATGAAACATTGATTGAAATTAAAAAAAAAACGAAATTCATTTTAAAGAAAGGTTTCCTTGCCGTTTCTCTTTAAGATCTCTGTGAAAGTTTTAAAGTTGCTTTCTGAACGGTCATGTCCATGAATATAAAACACATGTGTAGCCTGATATTTTTCTAATGTCTGGACCACTGATCTATATAATATACTGTATCATTCTATATAGATCAGTGGTCTGGACTAGAGTGCTAGCATTCTATGTAAACAAATACTTCAACAGGAAGTACCCATTTAGTCAGTTGAACCCGCTATGAATCATGGGAAATAGAACGGGCGCAGAAAAAGGTGGATATCAGGGCTTTAAAGTGAACCGTTTAGCAAAGTCCTAAGAGGCCTGTTTCTTTTATTGAACATTTCATGGCTCTCTTCTCCATAAATCTCTATTAATCCTTTGTCTGAGGAACACAGAGTCAGTGATCAGGAGTGAGAACCATCCAATGGCGTTCCCCCCTGCTTTAGGCCATTATTGGTAAATGACAAGGCCTCCCTCCTGATATACACTCCAATCATTTTGATTTAAAGGCCAATGTGAGGTTGTCTGGCCTCCTCTTCCTGATCCTGACCCCTCCCTGTGGATGTGGTGCAAGTCTTCACTGTACTGAATGAGTTACACAGAGTAGAAGTGTAGGTGGACGCGTGGGTGGGTCACTGGGGTTAGGGGGGTCTCTGCACTACTACTGAAGTTTGATATTCATCCAAAAAGAGACTCTGGGGGGATATGCAGTCTCTCTAACGCTCACATTCTCATTATTCCCCAACTTCAGTCTCTCCACACATTGCTCTTCTCCAGTTTGACCCATATTTCAAGCATTATCACTTGCTAATTCACTCACAACAGCACATATCTCCTCTTTCTGTCCCCTTCCTGGCTGGATTTGAACACATAAGTCCTTGCGATGTGACACTTTACTGTCTGGCTTGTTAATACTTTGTCCTCATGCAGTGTGTCTGCTTTGGCTCTCATAGTCCACTCTGGTTTTCTCATCTGACCTTAGAGAGACCGAGAAAAGGGTAACAAGAGACAAAGAGGAAAGATATACGAGACAAAGGGTGGTAGAGTGGGTACAGAAGTGAAGAATGGGGTAAAAAGGTAAGGCTTTCTCTTGTATAAACTGAACATTACTTCATGTCTGAGATGTAGACTTTTGCACGTCTGCTTAACCTCATTCTTGATTAAAATGAGAACAACGAGACAGAGTATTGCACCCTAGTGAATTTATTAGATATGTAGATATGAATTTACAGTAATGTCGAACAGTGATGTCACCACTACTTGCTAAATTGACATGTTTGGGGGTCAAAGTTAATTCACTTTTTTGATTATCAGTACTTTTGCAATCTAACTGATGTATGCAGAGTTGAAACAAGGTTCAGGATCCTGTCTGTTGAAAATATAATGACATCGGGAACAAATGAGTAATTTCGAGACATTGTACTGACAATATTTAGACAATACGCAGCAGGAGCACTGATGGTGCAAAGACAGACTGATGGAACGCATTGACTTCTGCTACACATGGACTGTTTGGGGAAATCATTGAGAATGTTTAGGGAATGTATCGACAATGTTTTCAGAACAATTTTGCAGAGTCTTGAGAATGTCGGGGTAACCCGTAGGCTACTAAGAAAAGGCACCCCATGTTTTCTTAAACTCTCCCTCACTGCTCTCGGTGGAGCCCCTCGACCCCAAACATCATGATAATTGCATGACCAGAACAACCACACTCATAGTTAACAGAGCTGAGTAGGCTTCACAAGCTAAATCATCTGAATATGCAGTTTTTAAATGAAAAAAAAACGTCAAAGCTATGTGCAAATAATAGTTTTAAATTTAATTTTTATTTATAAAAAATATATGAATGTATTTTGTCATCATTTTTTTGGTTTATTGTATTTTTTTATATATATTAAAACTTAAATGTACATACACTAATCAAAAGTTTGATCGTCCTTAAGATTTTTTTTATTTAAGAAAATATTTTCTTTCAGCAAGGATGCATTCAATTGTTCAAAAGTGACAGTATAGTCGTTGATAATGTTACAAAAGGTTTCCATTTAAAAATAAATGCTGTTTTTTTTGTACTTTATATTCATCAAGGAAGCCTGAAAAAAATTATTGACTGTTTCCACGAAAATATTACGAGTAATAAATCAGAATATTTCAATGATTTCTGAAGGATCATGTGACACCGAAGACTGGCGTAATGATACTGAAAACTCAGCTTTCCCATCACATGAAATACATTAAAACAGTAAAGAGTCATTTTAAATTATAATAATATTTCAAAATAGTACTGTTTTTATCAGATAATGGTGAGCATAATGGTTGTCTTTAAAAAAAATATCTTACTGACCACAAAGTTTGGATGGTTATGTGTATTTAGTTTTTACTAACCATTATTTTTGTACATTTTTTTTCCATGTAGGTGGACGACTCATTTGCACAATGGAAATGTTCACAAGCTTGATTATGAGACTGTAGGACTGTGTCTTTTCAACTTGAGTGAGAAGAATAAATGTGATTCAAGATTGGCCTCCAGACTTAAACACACACACACACTCATTGGGTACAGTGTTCAATGGCTAAGACTGTCTATCCTCAGACTTCGACATGGCAATGCTGAAGGAAACTTTGACCGTCACAATCATCATCAACCAACAAATATTCCCCCGCAGGTTATACACACACATACGTTACAAACTGACACACACAGAAAGCATATGCACAAACTTGTGGTTAAGCAGGCACCTCAGTTTTGACATAACACACACTTAACACAAATTGGTCACTGTAGCCTCATTGGAGGATGTGTGTGTGTGTGTCTGTCTGTGCCTCATAGCTCATAATTCCTGCTGAAAATACCAGCTGGAGACCACTGACCAGTAAACAGTTTGTTGTGTTTTAGATGGTGACTGTACCATAACTATCCTTAATAATGTTACAAAAGATTTCTATTTGAAATGTTTCTTTTGATCTTTCTATTCATCAAGAATTCTGGAAAAAAAGGGGATCTTTTTCAACAAAAAATTAAGCAGCACAAATGTTTTCAACAATAGCTATGTTTCCATCCACACGTATGAATTGAACCTGTTTAGAATTGGAATATCGCATTAAAACCTTTGCAAATAAATCAGCGTTTCCATCCCATGTGTTCAAGACAACAAAACAGTCATGTCCTTGGAAACTGGTGCAAAATATATGGAGGTTGTTGCAATCCGGGAAGCCAGTGTGGCTCTTTTTTTACTACATAATAATTCACTTGCGTCTATTATGCATCAATAAATGCAGTGATGCTATCTTGAATTCAGATGCCTGGTGTTTTGGAATGCAATTGTGTGACAGTGAGTTAAATGAATTCTTGGTGAGTAAGAGACTTTTTAAAATAAAAATATACACCAACCTCAAACTTTTAAACAGTGTATGTATGCGTTTAAATTCTATACACTACCGTTTTATTATTTGTTGTATTTTTTACTTGTTTAGAACGGATTCAAAATGATGAATGCGCTGAACCTGGTGAACTTCACAAGCTGACGTATTGCACACTAAAACACAATACTGTGGCTCTGAGCTTTGCGTGTCTGACTGAATCCTGCATGACCCGGTCTCTCTCCTTAACACTATGGTTTGTTCACTTCTCAAGGGTGTATGGACCTCCCCTAGTAATATTTAACCCTAACAGGTTGTCATCAACTCAAAACATTTATAGTGTGTCGCACATAAGATGACTCATGTAACACGCCATCAGCGCAAACACAACATAAAAGAGACTTTTGCCCCTGACGAGAGCCTGGAACCACTAAAGCACTAAATCCTGGCCTGTGTGTAGAAATCCCTCTCTAAAGTTAAGGTGCTGTTAAGTGCATGCGAGAGCGGTCACGTTTAATTAGGGTTTAAGAGTTAGATGTTGTGCACATCACTATTTGATCTAAGTGAGGGGAAAATAAATGGCTTCTAGTTGTAAGAGCCACAGGGAATCGGTGTCTGCAGAAATTTCACTTGCTTTTTTGCTTGTTTTTTTTTACATTTTCAGGCCAATTTGATGCATTTCTGCTTCAAAGTAGAATAATGAAAAGGGTAACTGATTGTTGTACTCGTAATTACAGCTTTATATCTCCAATTTAGTTTGTTCCTCCTCATAATTGCAGCTTCATATCTCCCGGTTGTGATTTTATATCTCATAATTTGTTTTGAAATTTAAATTTTATTGATACCATATCAGCTATCAGTCTCTATAAGTGTATTATTATCATTAACACATTTCCCCAACAAAATCTGCACTGAATGATAAAAATTGTTCACTGATTCTGTTTGGGTCAAGTTTTTGCTCAAGAAAAAGTTTTGGAGTACTACCAATCTATCTAGTGTAAAATCCCATTAGTTAATATTAGTTACATTACATTAATTAACAGTAACAATGAGTAATACATTTGTTACAATATTAATATACATAAATAAAAATAGAACTGCTAGTTCTCATTAGATAATTTTAATATTAAAAGACACAACATTTGGTTTTAATAATGTATTGGTAAATGTTGAAATTAACATGAACAAAGATATATAAATGCTTTAGAAGTATTTTTTTATTGTTGGTTCATAATGTTAAAGGAGTAGTTCACTTAAAAAAAAAAAACTTTTGCTGATAATTTACTCACCCCCATGTCATCCAAGATGTCCATGTCTTTCTTTCTTCAGTCGAAAAGAAATTAAGTTTTTTGATGAAAACATTCCAGCATTTTTCTCCATATAATGGAGCTCATTGGGAACTAAATGGTTCAAGGTCCAAATGAGAGTTTCAGTGCAGCTTCAAAGGGCTTTAAACAATGCCAGACAGTGAATAAGGGTCTGAACGATCGGTAATTTAAAAAAAAATAACTTAAAAAAATTAAGTTTTATAAGCACTAAAACTTACAAAACTTCACGATGAGTGTTCGTGACTCTCCGGTTCAAACTCGTTCATCAAAATGAAGGATCGAAGGGTCCTAGATAAGACCTGTATTCATCGTCTGGTGTCGTTTAAAGCCCTTTGAAGCTGCACTGAAACTCTCATTTGGACCTTAAACCATTTTGGTTCCCAATGAAGTCCATTATGAAGAAAATCCTGGAATCTTTTCATCAAAAACCTTATTTTCTTTTTGACTGAAGAAAGAAAGACATGAACATCTTGGATGACATGGGGGTGAGTAAATTACCAGCAAAAGTTATTTTTTAAAAGTGAACTACTCCTTTAACTAATTGAATCTTATTGTAAAGATTTACAGGATTCTAATTTACATTTATTTATTTTTCAGATTTGTCCTGTCGTTGTCTGTGAACACAAACTGCTTGTTGGAGATCTTGATTCAGTGTCCCATTTTTAAAGTGCGACCAAAAGGAGGACAAGAACTGAACCCCAGAGACCTGCCCTTTGACCTGCCATTACCAACTCTCCGAATTTTAGCATGCTTGCCCCACTCAGCTTCTACTTGATGTCTGCAGACGCCCGAGGTACGCTAAAAAGGGGTGAGGACCGAGTGCAAAAAGCTTTGTCTTTGATCGAGCCTCTGCTGTTAGCGGGCATGGCAGCGTTTGTGATCTGAGGAAACATCAGCGCTGTCTTGTGTGTCTTTAAGTGCTTTTCCATGGTGCCATAGTAGGATATCACTGTTACAGAGTTCTGTTTTTTCTCCATGTCATGGGTTCCTCATTCCTTCCAGGTCTCATTCTCCATTCTCTGTTTTCCTCTCTATCTTTCCCCCACTAAATTACGAGTGTCGGGCCTATTAGAACCTAAACTCTTAACCAATGACCGTGTTAGACAAACAGCCCGACACCACAACGCACACATGGACGCCACCCACCACATGGTAGAGAGAACCTAGTGGCACATCTGTGTGCGTTCATCGAGACAGGAGGGCAGGGGAGAAAGGGAGAGACAGAACCGGAGAGCCTGTGATGTTTGCCCGCAGAGTTTATAAAACAGAAGTCAAGCTGTATTAAAACACCCAGCACATTACTGCCATAGACCGTGCCAAACCTTGACAGCCTCCCCAGACCGCACTTTCAAAATAATAATTACACTGCGAGAGAGAGGAAAGAACATTAGGATCTGCGCTTCGGCTCAAACATGCCTTTGAAATCGTAGAAGCACCAGTTATCAGCAGGAGAAGGGAGGTGTGGGTGTACAACCGGACGCTGGGGAGCCGTATTTGGTTAGAGAGCGGGGAAACCGAGGCATATGTAGTGTGGATTAAGACCGATGGTTTCGGGGGGATGGGCAGGTCTAGAAGTCAGAAGAAAAAAAATATTGAGCAGGTCCAATAAACAGTCAGAGAGAGATTACCGAGATCATTCACTTGTAAGCAGTTAGATTGGTGTAGAAACTCTTTTTACTCGGAAATTGTTTCAAACAATTCCAATGAAGTGGAAAGTAACACATTGAATTAAATGTGAAATTTTGAAGCTGAAAAACTGAAATTGTATTTTCTTGTAAAACATTCTTTGGAAAGTATGACTTGGCTAGAGTTCATATGCGAAATCGTAAGAAACTGGGATTTTTAATATGCGCTACATCATCGAAACTCTTGTATTTAAGCCTTTGTTGACACATTTGGCAAATATTTCAATGTTATCAAGTGCTTGCTTTTCCATGCAAATGTTCAGTCTTCCTGAATGGATGTAGATATTCATGATGATTTCATTTTCTCAAAGACATGATTTGAGGTTGCTCGATCAGCTTATTCCATCTGGAAAGTTCTGGCAAAGTTCTCGTCTTTTAGTCTGAGCAATTGGGGTTTTGTGGAACAACGATGAAAAACGTTAAACAAACAAACAATGCCCAAAAAAACCTTCTCCAATTTGTACTACTGCCACAAAGAACCATTATTAGTTTTTGCCATAAATCCATATATTCATAAATCTCCTTTTAACGTCTATATTTGAAAGTCAGGCTCCTGCTCCAAAGAAAGCACAGGCAAAACAGCGGCTTGACATACGCACACATCACATGAAAGCCACAATTGTAGGTTTAGAAGCTGGCCAGGCCTGAGCACTGATATTCATTGTTACAGAGAAAACATTTTGTCGTATCTGATGTTATTTTCTCAGCAGAGAGAGAGAGAGTTTAGTGCAAAAATAATTGACTTTATTGCCTTCATTTTATAGTGTGGCTCCTTTATGAACACCCTGTGCGGTGATTTGTAATGTGTTTACCTTTCGCCGTGCCCTGTGGAAGTGTTGGCTTGGGATTGGGATCTCAAGTTTGTGTTTGTTGCTTATACTGTAGACATGAAAGTTATGACTGTTATTTTAGAGCGAGAAAAACTTCAGAAAGATGAGGAACAGGTCTATAGAAGAAGAAAAAATAAATGTACCCCCCCCCCTTTTTTTTTTTTTGAATAAAGTATTTTCTCCCATCATCTCAACTTAACAAGTTAACCTGGTGACAGTATTAGTAGACTCTCTGCTTAATATCTGCCAACTCTTTATTGTGATGATCCTCCAACACACATTATACTGACTACACGTAACTTTGCAACTACATGTCAACTTATTCTATATCCCTAACCTTACATGTCTACTACTCTACTAACACTATAGTGAGAGTTAGTAGAGATGTAGGTGCAATGTTACTTATAGTCAACTGAATGTGTTAAAGGGACCATCCTAATAAAGTGAAACTGTCAACCTTACTATTGATTTAATAATTCTTGACATGTTTCCATGAAATATATTTTTGTTATCAGAAACATTTTGTTTTTTTACAGGAATATCTAAACAAAAACATCAAAAGCTAATTTTACTTTTTTTATTTAGATTTAGATTTTATTTTGTGAATTTTAGAATTTAAAAATGAGTCTGGATTACAGAGGGATAATCACAAAGAGATCTTATCTTTATCTTTGACATATTAAATGTTATGTTACATATTATATAATTTATAAAAGAAAATATGTTTTATTTACTTAATGTGGGTTAAATTTGTTTGTTTCTGGACAATATCTGTTAGTTTTTCCAAGAACGTTCAAGAAAAATAAAAGTATTTAAAGAAACTTTACAGCTATCCTATAAAAAGTAAGATTAAAATAAGAGCAGGTGCCGAGTTTACTTGAATGAAAATATTAAACAGACTGTTTCATATAGTGCAGGTCAGTGAATCCCTCCATTCCCGCCAACTGCTGTTTAACAACCTGTTATTGCAATATGAATTTCTGTCATAAATCAAAAATCCAGTCTCCTTAAACCATCCTAGCTGCTTTGACAGTCCTGGAGCTTACTCTCGCTCAACTAAGAAGAGGTGAGCGCACGGCAGCCGTGAATCCCATCACACAACGCTTCATAAACATACTGATGCACCAAGGTCTTTCTCTGTCTGCTGCTGAAAATTAAGTAATGTTGATTTTGGCACCCAACTCCCTCTATGTGTCTGCCTGTCTGGCATATCAAACCATTGTTAGGGTTTGAGCATATTCGCTTTGGCTTACACACGCACATGCATTAGCACACACTTGTAAACTTGTACTGCTGCCTGTGCAAACACCCTATAAAACGGGCTATTATTCATAATAATCAAATAACGGTAGCCGTTATATTTGAGTCTGGGATAGGATGTAGCTGATTTGCTTAATGCAAAGGATTGTGAGACGACGTGGAGTCCATCGTCTGGAAACGTGTGCTGTAAAATTTTCTCATAAAAGGAGTTATGACAGGTCATCAACTTTCTTGTTCGTTGCAAGTCAGCCTCGCAATCTTACAGCTTTATTCCCCGTAATCGTTGCTCTAAGATCTGCTCACAAGAACAAGCTCACAGCTGTGAAGTACTGTAGCATGATGGGCCTTTCTCATTCCCCCTTCTCATATTAGTCTATCTCACTCCATCTACTCCTGCTGAATTTCCTTTTTACGAGTATCTGACAGATTTTGCAGGTGTTCATTACCGTGACCAAAGTCACCCATGTTCCAGTCAGGCTGCTTGTGGAGTTTAACGGAGTTGTTGAACTGTACTTAACTGTGCTGAACTGCTGTTGACTTCCATCCCTGTGCACAGTAATGGGAGCTGAAGGTCTAGGTACGGTACTTCACTGTAGAAATTCTGATTTATGTTGACCATAAATCATCAGTGCTCAGTCGCAGATTTGTAAATAATATTGTATGTCATTTGACACGATTTGTGAATTCAGATGCCAAACCGCATTCTCCGGTCCAAAATCTTTTTTTTTTTTTCACATAGGGACCCTTATTTTTAAAGTCCCCATGAAATCAAAATTGACGATTCTTGTTTTTGTGTGGAAAATAATCTTTATAATATTTAATCAAAATAACCCGTCCCTCTTCTCTGATGACGTTTTTTGGTGTGAAGGTGAGACAACCTGTCACTCACATGAGATCACAGCATTAACAAACCACAACAATCCAATGATCCAACCAATTCCTAATGGACAAAATCAAGTCCTGCCCTACATTTTGTCTTGGGCTGCATTTAACTCCACTTTTCAGACATACACCTGCAAACTTCATTAAGCACTTAAATCCCCGCCGCCATTTTAAAATGCGTTCAGCTTCAAGTGGAAGAGCGTTCAACCAAAGTTTATTTGGACAGACCCTCAAACCTCTGATTTTGTCTACTCAAATGTACACTTCAGGCAGTTCCATATACCGCAATACAATTGTGACATTATAACGTCAAACGTTATAATGAACGTTATAATGAGCATGCTTTTACTACAAAAAAAACCAAAAAAAAAACCCCCTAGTTATTGCAGCTCAATCATGGTGACCACAAATAGTAAAACTGTGGTTATATAAATGGTAGGCTAATCAATCCACCCAAATCGTCTTACTTGACTTTTATCAGGCTATGATAAAACTATGGTTTTATTGTGGACTCTGGCTATATCTTTTCCTTTTTGATTTAGTTTGTTTTTACAACTGATGAAGTTTGCTGTTTTGGTCCATATAGTCAATATTTGTCACTCATTATAGCTTTAACCTTCTCACTACTCCAACACTTTCACAGATTTGAAATGACATGCACAGGCAATTGAAATCGCTAGTTATGTATGTAACTGTGGTTCTGTGAATTCCAGATGACCATCAGAGATCGTGCAAAGCAATAGTGGATACAGTGGCCATCCACCCACAAACATCAAGGTTGCTCTAGAAGGACTACAGAGCTCGTATAATTGGAAGCAGCCCACGTTAACCTTGTAGAACCGCGCGAAGGTACTTGGAGAAGAGCTTCGCAGACATCCGCCAAGGAAACTCACCGTAAAAGTGGCCCAAGATGAAGACATAGCCCTGGTGGAGTGACAAGTAACACCCACTGGTAAGGGTTGATAAGATTTATAATACGCCAACTTTATCGGCTCGACAATCCAGCGACAATCCCTTGACAGAGCATCAGCCACTTGATTGTTGAATCCCGAGAGATGAACTGCCCTTAATGAAGCCATGGCTCTGAGACCATGTGAAGATCTTGCGAATTAGCTGTAAAGACGCAAGAGACCTGGTGCCGCCCTGATGATTCAAATGAAAGACCATCAACGTGTTGTCGGACCGGACAAGCACATGACAACCCATCATGTTTGGTAAGAAGTGTTATAAGGGTAAGTACACTGCCTTCAGCTCCAGGACGCTGATATGTTCTAAGGCCTCCCTGGGTGACCAGTGACCACCAATTCCCCTCTGGTTCCATGTTGAAGGAAATCGGTCATGATCTTTTTCCGATGGAGGACACCACCCCGGAGTGGCACTCCGGCTCTCAGAAATGTTACCCTTTCCAGGTTTTCAGTGCACGGACACAG